AAAAGGAAACATTGTTTCAGGAGAAGGAGAAAAGGATCCCAAACGCCCCCAGCGTTCTGCGCAAAGTATACCCTGGTATACCCGTGAAGGTTCATTTCTTGCGGGTCGTTTTTGTTTCAGCTTGATCCAGCATGACAAGTATGATGTGTTGCTGCTTATCCTGATATAGCGACGTGCGGATTTGTTACACGAAATAACCAGGCTTTAAAGGCTCTGGAACAAGGTTCGAATGTTTGCCAATAGAAAAAGCTCAAGACCAATCTAACCTATTGGGTGATTTTGAGGGTTGCAACGTTGAATCAATAGAAAGGGACACCGTTGAGTTTGTATGTCTTCTATGGCAGGGCACCCATGCGTTCCTTTCGATATGCTCCAAGCGCACTGTTCCGCGCGCTGAAACCAGCGCACGCACGTTTGCGTTTGGACTTTTGACCGCAATGAGGTGACCCAAACTGCCAAGTTGTTTTTTCACATTTTCCAGCTGGTCCGGGGTAACCATCCCCTCCAGACATTCTCCAGCCCGCGGCTTTAAGCCGATTTTCAAGCGGACGGGGCTTGCTTTGTCCCAAACTGAGACACGGGTCGCACCTCGCCACATGGTTTGCAACATGGACACATGTTCAACGTTTGGGGTATACATCGCTAAGAGGTTCTGCTTCAGCGGTTTGACTCTGGTTAACTGCGACCTCTCAAGAGGACTGAAGGTTCACTGGGAATCAATTTGCCACAACGCATCTCGAACCTCGAACTTTCCCAGGGATGGTATACAGGGGTTCCCATAACATTATTTGCTCTCTTTGCATCAATCTTGAAGCTTGGCGCCGTTCTTCACGCAAGTTCGGGTGATGTGTGTGTGTGGTGTGTCTGTGTGTCTGTGTGTCTGTGTGTCTGTGTGTCTGTGTGTCTCTGTGTCTCTGTGTCTCTGTGTCTCTGTGTCTCTGTGTTTGTGTGTCTGTGTGTCTGTGTGTCTGCGTGTCTGCGTGTCTGCGTGTCTGCATGTCTGCGTGTCTGCGTGTCTGCGTGTCTGCGTGTCTGCGTGTCTGCGTGTCTGCGTGTCTGCGTGTCTGCGTGTCTGTGTGTCTGTGTGTCTCCGTGTTTCTGTGTCTCTGTGTCTGTGTGTCTGTGTGTCTGTGTGTCTGTGTGTCTGTGTGTCTGTGTGTCTGCGTGTCTGCGTGTCTGCGTGTCTGCGTGTCTGCGTGTCTGCGTGTCTGCGTGTCTGCGTGTCTGTGTGTCTGTGTGTCTGTGTGTCTGTGTGTCTGTGTGTCTGTGTGTCTGTGTGTCTGTGTGTGTCTGTGTCTGTGTCTGTCTGTGTCTGTGTGTCTGTGTGTCTGTGTGTCTGTGTGTCTGTGTGTCTGTGTCTGTGTGTCTGCGTGTCTGCGTGTCTGCGTGTCTGCGTGTCTGCGTGTCTGCGTGTCTGCGTGTCTGCGTGTCTGCGTGTCTGCGTGTCTGCGTGTCTGCGTGTCTGCATGTCTGCGTGTCTGTGTGTGTGTGTGTGTGCGTGTTGCCTTCCCTGTTGAACAGAATCTTAACAGCACATTGAGCTCTTACCTATGCCAAAAATAGCATGTGTTCTGCAGATTCTGCAAGTCCCTTGAACAAAACCAGAACTGGCTGGGAAGGTTCGACAATCCGAGCCAGAACTCGGCGTGTCAAGTTTTCCTTTGGATTATTCACTGCTGTTTTGGGTTCCTGGACCCTCAAGTGACCCTTGAACATGGAAAGTCAGGAATACTGTTTGGACAATATGTAATATTCATGAGGGTAGATTGAGGGTCGGATTAGACTCCTTTGATTGATGCAGTGTTTCAGTGAGATTTAACGCAAGTTTGTTGTGTGAAGTTTCGAGTTGAACTCGAGTGCTGTTGCGGGATCCCTGGGCTTCGAGCGATTTGTTTTCCTTTTTGGTGGTTCCATCAGCGGTCCTCACGGGTCCCAAAAAGGAGATTGATGAAGCGTCACGCTTTCTAGCTCAAGAAGAGTTTACTCAACTTTCAAATGACACCTAGTCATCGTTTGGTTGGCAAGACCATTGATTTTGCCGAGCTTTCCCATGCAAGCACGGCGACCTTCCTTTAGGTGTGGGAAATCAGCTTTTCCCAATGTTGGAAGCACGGTAAATGTTTATTAGGTCATGCTCGTTGCATAAAGCGGAAAACCACGATGCATGCTTTAAGTGGGGGTAATGTTTCAAACATAGGGTACAGTTCACAGAGACTTGCTTCCGGCTGCGCACTAGTCTTGAAGACAAAACATGTACTTTAAGAGTATTTAGGCAGCCTTTGCTTCAAATATCAACAGCTTCTGTTGAGTCAGGGGGTATTTGGAGATGGTACAGGAACAACCCCGACGCCAATTCGGGTGTGGGGTCGGTTGGAAGCTTGTGGGTTCTGCCCTAGAGGCAAGTTCCGTGGACCGTGTGAATTCGTTCAAATTGCGTCAAAATGCATCGATGGCCAAGTAGCAACTTGCGCGGGCTGAAAAGGAACGCTTGAGACAAGCTTTTTGAGGCGGGTCCCATCAAAACACAGAAGCCGCTAGTTTTTTTCACATTGAGTCACTGCAAAAGCTGACCGCCCGAGCTGTTAGCACGAGCTCACCCATTATATCAGAGCCGGTATTTCTGGTCCTGAAAGCGGGCTGACATTCAGGTTGAAGGGCCCTTGACGAATAGGTTGCTATGGTTCTGCGCAGGGGTCAAAAGGGGGTCACGCGGCGGGCTTCTCCATCGGGTTCTCCTCAGTAGGGGCTCGCAAGGGGCGCAGCGCGTGTGGGACCAACCAGAAACGAACAATGCCACGATAAGCTGGGTCCTTCAAAGTGGTCTCATCTTGCGAGATTCGCAAGAGAATCCTTTTGGGTCCCGATGTCAAACTGTTTTGTTCGGGTCATGTTTCCCGTAAAATGGTTTGAAGTGTGTGGAGTGGTTTGTTTGACCGCTTCTGGAGGAGTATTGACTCCAATCAACCACCGTTCGTTTCCCAGGCTAGCCCCTGAAAGAGTATCTCAAATTCACGCCAATCAGGGGGTCAAATGAACTCGGGTCCCAAGATGATGGGATTCCGGTTTTGAATTGGAGTAATTGGCCAGAGAAAAGGGGTTTCATTTGACAAGAAGACTTCCAACGCAGCTGGACGCTCTTACTGGGCTTCGACTGGATCACGCATTGAAGACACCTCACCTCGCTAAGCTGCCACCGATTGCCGCTGTAGTGGCGAATGAAGGGAAAACACCCATCCAAGGAAGACAGTTGGAAAACCTCACGGTTCCGCAGCAACTACTTTTAGGACATTTATTTTACGGACTCTAAGGACAATATCAAAAATCCTGGCTTTCGATCTATGGTAGATCCTTGAGTTTGCTTTGTGACCAACCCTCAGCCGCCACCAAGCTTGTTCGTGAGCAATTCTACTGACCGAGAAACCCCAATCGGGGCATGAGCTCCCCCAGAAATTCCTGAAACTAGGTTTTCCATGGAATAGCACAGAGTTGTGAGTTTGCTCTTAGGGAAACCAATAGGGGATAGATATTTTAAACAGTCTTCTAGACCCGCTATTTAGCACCCAGCGTTGTGGGTAGTCTCAAACAGGGTGTGTTTCAAAAGCCCTGTAAGGTCAGGTTCTCCATCGAAATGTTTGAGGTTTGCATTGGAGGGTTATGATCCTTAGTGATAGTTGGCTACGGCACATGAATCACTTGCAGGGATTCCTCAGAAGTCTTATCGATTCCCTCAGAGGTCCTGGCTTAGGGAACCATGAATTTAAGTTGATGAAGTATGTATACATCACCGTGTTTGAAGTTCGAAGCTGGACGATGGCCACATCGAACCCGCACAAACAGCAAGCATCTACACAGGAGAGACACTTCCCCCCGACACGAGAACAGGGTTCAGTTGTAAGGATCGTTCCTTGCGAGCGTTTCCGGGGTGGTTTGGGCCTTGGGTTTCCTTAAGTACAGACCACGAAATCATTCCGCTTGGCTGCTTTAGGAGTTTTGTTGAATTGGCCACAACCAGGTCTATGCCTCGAGGGCATCCGGGACTTAGGTTTCCTTCAAGGGACTCCGTTCTGCAAAACCCAGAAGTATTTTTCCCAAATGGAAACCAACAGGGAATGGGTCTTCTTTTCACGTGTCCAAACCCCTGTTTTGGAGATTTCTGCAGTTGGGGATTGAATTTGAGACTCTTCAGAATACAACTGGAATCGCAACCAGGTTTTGGTTTGAAACCTGAAGGTTTTGAAACCTGAAGGTTTCCTCCTTTGGGTGTTTGGTTTTTAATTCGCCCATGCGAAACAAGAGCAACGGGTAGAGCAGGCATTTGTTGTGCACCCTCGGGATTCTTTGCGCTTGTGACTCTGGGATCCTTGGAGACTCCTGGATGAGTTTGGCTTGTTCCTATTTTCACAATGATGTCCGCTTCCTGCCGTGTTCCCTTTGAACCTGGCATCTCAAATAGGTCTCTCTGCAAGTCCTTGAGACACCGCTAATATTTGCCTTGATAGCCAAGTTTCTGCTTTTTTCGCGCGTTCCCTCAGGATATATCCGTCTACGGGTTCGGATCCCAGACCACACCACAACTTTTTTTGAGAACCCACATTTGTAAACTTTGTTCAGGGCCCCAACAGCAAGGTTGCCCCTTAGGGTGACTGGGTACCGGGTACAAATTTGCCGCCAAGTGTGTTTGTTGTCCAAACAGGAAGTCAAAAGGGAATGAGCAATTTCACATGTCGTCTAGACCCTCTACAGTGGATGGCCAGAATCTTGCACCAGTTGTCCCGCAAACTCACTGGGGTGAAGTGAATTGTGTCCATTCACAACTAAGCAAAAACAATAATGACTGAGTTACGTTTGCTCCCCAAAAAGGAAGCCGCAAAAGGATAGAGTTATTGGCTCGTTATTGTCAAACAACATTTGGGATGGATGAAGCCATTGCCAACTGGGATAAACCATGGTGGTGGTAAACCGCCCTTGTGATAAAAAGCCCACCCCAGTTTGCCAGCCAGGCCCTGGTCTATGCCTACTCCGCGCTGGCGGAGCAGAGCACTCCCGGCTGGGCACCGGCCGCTTGGAATTCATCGGAAACCCGGATGGGATGTTGTGAGATGATTTGGGTCTGTGTCGGAAACATGACACTCAACCAGGCTCACACAAGCCCCACACCTCCAGTAGTGCTCATGTTTCCAGTTTGTTGGACAGGGTGTCCCTTCAAGATCAACAACCAAATAATAGATACCCCGTTTTTCTCGGGGCTAAAGGTCTGGGACTGATAGCTGGTTCTTATTTGGGGGTTTCCGGTAAGTGTTATTGCTTTTTGAGGACGGATCATCATGGATGTTCTTGTGTTTCCGTTTGTTGGTTTTCTGGCAGAAGAACTAGAACTTCATCCCTTATATATCGAAACATGAATTGGCAACCAAGGAGGGATACTTCAAAGGACCATAGAATTGTTGGCAAGCAACAAGGGATGCTTCAAAGGCACGTGCTTTGCATCTCCAAGCCTCGAGTGCAAGGAGCCATTTTTCTCGCGCCGGAAAGGAACTTCCAACCAACCCCCCAACCCTCCAACCACCCCTCGACCTCCCATCCCTCTCGCCGCGAGGTGAGCGACACACAGTCAATGGCAGTCAACATCAGCTTCGTGGACCAGGCCAGTCGTGCGGGTTGCGGATCGGCTCACGGGCCAGACTTGGGGTGCCAGCGCCTGAGGAAGCAATTCGTTGAGTGATGTTCCGAAGGTTGGCCCCCTACTTCTTTTTCCCATCCTGTTTTTGCAAACCCCACTAACGCTTCCTCATTGTTTGTTCTGAACATAGTCTCAGGCTTCCTGGTTTCAGAATCGCAGCTCAACAAAGGAATCCTCCTGAACATAATGTATCGATCGCTTGCACCCCATGACAATCACGTCGGTCCAATCCGCCGCCCCGAAAAAGGATCTTCCCAAGCGCTTCCCCAAAGTGTAGAACTTCGGGGTCCGCTTTTGTTTCTACCTGGGTGGTAACATTTGTGTTTCTTTTGTTTGGTATGCCTTTTGCTATTGTTTTGGGCTCCGGGCTAGACCTCAACATTCTTGGATATGAATGTGTGTGTGTTATCAACCTTTAGCCGTTCACAGACCTTTGGCGAGGACTTGGACGAAGATGAGCTCGGGGGCACCATCACTTGGACTCCGAACGGGGATGCCCGGCACTCGTGCGTGCGTGCTTGCGTGTGCGCGTGTGTGCGTGCGTGCGTTTGTGCGTTTGCATGTGTGTTGGTGGGTGGGTGGGTGGATGTTGTTGTGTTGTTGTGTTGTTGTGTTTGTGTGTTTGTTTGTTTGTTTGTTTGCTTGCTTGCTTGCTTGCTTGCTTGCTTGCTTGCTTGCTTGCTTGCTTGTTTGTGTGTGTTTGGGAGTTTGTGTGTTTATGTGTTTCTGTGTGTTTGTGTGTGTGTGTGTTTATGTGTGTTTGTGTGTGTGTGTTTGTGTGTGTGTGTGTGTGTGTGTGTGTCTGTGTGTGTGTGTGTTTGCGTGCGTGCGTGCGTGCGTGCGTGCGTGCGGGCGGGCGGGGGGGCGGCGGGCGCGGCGCGGGCGGGCGCAGGCGGAGCGTGTGCGCGTGCGTGCGTGCGTGTGTGTGTGTGTGTGTGTGTGTGTGTGTGTGTGTGTGTGTGTGTGTGTGTGTGTGTGTGTGTGTGTCTGTGTCTGTGTGTGTCTGTGTGTGTGTGTTTGTGTATGTTTGTGTCTGTTTGTGTGTGTGTGTGTGCGTGCGAGTGCGAGTTCGAGTGCGAGTGCGAGTGCGAGTGCGTGTGTGTGTGTGTGCGTGTGTGTGTGTGTGTGTGTGTGTGTGTGTGTGTGTGTGTGTGTGTGTGTGTGTGTGTGTGTGTGTGTGTGTTTGTGTGTGTGTGTGCGTGTGCGTGTGCGTGTGCTTGTGCTTGTGCGTGTGTGTGTGTGGGTATGGGTTTGTGTGTGTGTGTGTTTGTGTTTGTGTTTGTGTTGTTGTTTGTGGTTGTGTGTTTGTGTGTTTCTGTTTGTGTGTTTGTGTGTTTGTGTGTTTGTGTGTTTGTTTGTTTGTGTGTTTGTGTGTTTGTGTGTTTGTGTGTTTGTTTGTTTGTGTGTTTGTGTGTTTGTGTGTTTGTGTGTTTGTGTGTGTGTTTGTGTTTGTGTGTTTGCGTGTGTGTGTGTGTGTGTATGTGTATGTGTGTGTGTGTGTCTGTGTCTGTGTCTGTGTGTGTGTGTGTGTGTGTGTCTGTGTCTGTGTCTGTGTCTGTGTCTGTGTCTGTGTTTGTGTCTGTGTCTGTGCGTGTGGGTGTGCGGTGTGTCTGTGTGTGTGTGTTTTTGTGTTTGTGTTTGTGTGTTTGCGTGTGTTTGCGTGTGTTTGCGTGTGTTTGCGTGTGTGTGTGTGTGTGTGTGTGTGTGTGTGTGTGTGTGTGTGTGTGTGTGTGTGTGTGTGTGTGTGTGTGTGTGTGTGTGTGTGCGTGTGGGTGTGCGGTGTGTGTGTGTCTGTGTGTGTGTGTTTGTGTTTGTGTGTAAGTGTGTTTGTGTGTCTGTCTCTCTTTGTGTTGAGAGTTTGCGTGTTTGGGTGAGTTTGTTTGTGTTTTGTTGGGTGTGTGGGTTTGTGTGTTTGTGTGTTTTTTTGTGTTCGTGTGTTTGTGTGTTTGTGCGTGTGTGTGTGTTTGAAGGTGTGCGTGTGCGTGTGCGTGTGCGTGTGCGTGTGCGTGTGTGTGTGTGTGTCACGACGGCAGTGTCACGCCTCCGGAGCTTTTGGGAATGGCTCCCAATCCGGGGCAAAATCCTACCACTTCCACTACTCTCATCCCGAACAGCAAGCGCACCTCCGACCAGCATCCACTACCAGCTGGCACGGAGCCACTTCACACTCCGTTTCCAAACCGATCCAACACTTCTGCAACCGACATGTCCGACGACCTCTCCACCAATTAGCACCTCTTGCCACCAACGATCGACGATCATTCCGAGACTCATATCACCGCACTTCCACCACGCCTCACAATCACACGGCTGACGCAAACCTCAACGTCATGTCACCTACCATTACTGGCCTAGCTGACACTACTTCTCCAACCAGCACTCGACCCCTCAATCTTGCTGCATCGGATCAACAACGGCCAGCTCACCAACCTCCGAACAATCCGAAGAAGACAATTTAGGTACTTCGTGTTCTTCGGCATCCTCCACACCCGCTGACGAGTGGTCACCCAATCGCCTCCGTCGACTGAGAGATGTCAAGACCAATGAACGAGCACGGCCCAGTTACAAAGCCATCGGTCGGATCTTGAACAAGCCTGCCGAGACTGTGAAGTCCAAGTGGTTCGAGATCAAAGATCAGAGCCCGTAAACCTGCTTGCTTGAGTCCGAATGTCTTTGCACTGTGAATAGGACCCGACTTCTTGCCCTGCCGCAAAGCGGCGCGTGTGTGTGTGTGGATCATCCTAGATCACGGATGGAAGGCTTCACCGCCAAATTGGAGTTTTGTGAGTCAGGGGGTGCAAGCAGCCCATCCGGTCTCGCACCAACGAAGACACCGGATGTGTGCTGGTGATATCACTGGGGACGCTCCGTGACGTACCTGCAAAAGAGCCACCTTGTCTGGTATGTTGCTCCGTTGCTTTATATACAAGGACCAATGGCTCGATGGAATGCTTGTTTGTGTTGATTTCCGAAACGCAAGGGTTGACGCATGACCTCTGTGATTCTCCTACATTCCAAAGAGTGCGTGTGTGTGCGTGCCTATGTGTGTTTGTGTGTGTTTGTGTGTGTGTGTCTGTGTGTGTGTGCCTGTGTCTGTGTGTCTGTGTGTCTGTGTGTCTGTGTGTCTGTGTGTCTGTGTGTCTGCGTGTCTGCGTGTCTGCGTGTCTGCGTGTCTGCGTGTCTGCGTGTCTGCGTGTCTGCGTGTCTGCGTGTCTGTGTGTGTCTGCGTGTCTGTGTCTGTGTCTGTGTCTGTGTCTGTGTCTGTGTCTGTGTCTGTGTCTGTGTGTCTGTGTGTCTGTGTGTCTGCTGTGTCTGCGTGTCTGCGTGTCTGCGTGTCTGCGTGTCTGCGTGTCTGCGTGTCTGTGTGTCTGTGTCTCTGTGTCTCTGTGTCTCTGTGTCTCTGTGTCTCTGTGTCTCTGTGTGTCTGTGTCTATGTGTGTGTGTGTTTGTGTGTGTGGGTGGGTGTGTCTGTGTGTGTGTGTCTGTGTGTGTGTGCGTGTGTGTCTGTTTGTGTCTGTTTGTGTCTGTTTGTGTCTCTTTGTGCTTGTGCGTTTGTGTGTGTGTGTGTGTGCGCGTCTGTGTGTTTCTGTCTGTGTGTGTATGTGTGTGTTTGCGTGTTTGGGTCTTTGTGTCTTTGTGTCTTTGTGTTCGTTTGTGTGTGTGTGTGTGTGTTTGTACGTGTTAGTTTTTGTCATTGCGTGCTTGTGTTTTTGGAATTGTTCGTGTGCGTGTGTGTGCGCCTTTTTGTTTTTTTCTTTGTTTGGGGGGGGGTGAACGGTTCACGAAGTTTTTGGGGTTGCTGTAATGGGGGGGAACAGGAACCTTCCTATTTTCAAATGCCCCATATTCAGTGTGCAACATGCACATTTTTTGGCGCCATTCAACGAAATGTTAAGTGAGATCGCTTCCTCATAATTTTGAAACCAAAGGGGCCCCTTTTCGAGCTCCCATCCCTATCAATGGGGTCCCGAACCCTCCGGTGGAGGGTACGTGCTTAGGTCAGAATCTAAATAGGGATTCTGACATGGTGGACCTGATTTTTGTCAGTTTAGTAGACCTCTCGAATGGTCATTTGCAAATATGGTTTGCCAAAACCCAGCCATGTTTGACTGGCGGCAAAGCCTGAGCTAGTCAAGGTGTCATATCGCCCTTGGAAAGCGGCAGACGCTTTTGGAGAACCCCCAAAGCAATGACGACCCTGAGGGTGAGGGAAATCTGCAATCTACATGCGGTGTTTGAAGCACAGAGAGGCCTTGCCCAAAGTGGCCAACCTTTCCTACCAGCCCTGTAGCCATCCCTGACTTGCACAAACAAGACCTGCACCCACGCCCCGACAACCAAGCTTTTCAAAAGAAAAACCAGGCATTTGGAGAATCCGGGGGTGTGGCGTCGCGACATTGACCAATTCACCGGTCGGGTGACTAGGTGGAGCACGTGACTGCGCACCTGGCATACCTGGCGGTGGATGCGTCACTTGTAGAAAAGGGGAAGCACATACATAGTTAGGGGAAGTCGAAAATAGTCATAGATCATTTCTGGGGGCAGAAAACGGCTACATATTGAAACGGTATTTCTGCAGAAATCCAAAGGAACAAACCAACCATTGAAAAGGACACCTATGATATATATATATATATATATATATACACGTATTTTATTATATATACACATCATTTCTAGGGGCACTCAAAAGGACATCATATATATATATATATACACACATTACATCAATCATTTTTAGAGGGATTCGTCAGAACCAGGGGCCCTTTGACAGGGTTCCTGCTTGAAACCTGCCAAGTCGGCTCGCAAGCCCGTTTTGACACAATCGTAAGGACTAACTACCTACATAAACATCCGCCTTTGTTTGGGATACGTTCTGGAAAGCCAGGTCCTTCGGGGCTTCCTTTCTGTTCAGAAGACACAGCTGCAGTATTTGGAGGAGGGGCTAGAATTCGGGAGTGGTGGGAGCGGAGAGGGACGCCGCACGCACCACACACACACCCACACACACCAGAGGAAAGTAGTTTATGTCGCCTGGATCTTGCTTCATTGGTTCCTCTTTTCGAAGCGACCTCTGACTCCTCGAAGGATTCGAAATGAGAAAAGGTCGCATCCCTTCTGTGCCAACACAACTTTCTCCGATTGGCGAACCAAAGGCTGAAATCAACGTCACACATTTCACTGCAGGTACACGTGGATGATCAGCCACTCAGGGATGGTTCCCTTTGAGGTAGGGACACTATTTCTTTTAGGGGGGGTCCCTGACTGGAGGGATCCTCCGGATTAGTCCGAAGCTAGCATTACCATTATTCGCCGATCAGCCTTTGGCTTTGTTTGTCTCCTTGATCCTGGAGGGTATCGCAGGTATGGTGACAATCGCTCGCTGGTGGGCAGCGGGGACGCGGCGGTGGCACTTGCGCCAGAGCCTGCGGTCGCAGCTGGTGCATTTAGCTACATGAGGTTCGGTCACAAGATCCCGATTCATGTTCCGTATATTTCCATAGAGTCTCATTTTTTGCCAGGAGTGGACAACCTGCCCTTCAAACAGTGCACATTTGGAGTGTGGGTCAGTAGTTTGTGGTCAATTTGAGACGGACATAGTGGGACTCACTAAATTACCCACAAACAAGGAGTTCACTAGTTGCCCCATTGCCTTTTACAGAAAGCATCTATTTTGCACTGCGGCAAATCTTGTGTCCCATGGATGTTGGCAAAGTAACACTGTACTTCCTTTGAAACTCTTGAAGCAAGTCGGGGTGTGGTAATCGGAGCCCTGGAGTCTTGATAAGAACTTTAGGGGATTGTGATCGGCACATTTGGTGACTGACGGCTCGACATACGATGTTCAGGGCATTTTGTCATGTCGTACCGGGCATGATTTGTTTTTTCCCCGATGGGAACTGAGAGGTGGACCAAAGTTCAATTTTGACAGACCTCCGATCCTCCTTCAAATCAACACGGAAACCAATTCGGGGTCGCAAAGAGTCCTCTACAAATCCAGTTTCTTCGGCTCCATGGGAATTAACCTGGGGAGCAGCTCCATTGTCATCTTGAATTGCATTGGGATGCCAACTGCAAATCGCGTCATTCACAAGGCCCCGACAAACACCCAGGCAGGACTTCGACAGGGCTCCAGGGAGTGAATTTGGCCAAGAACAGGGGCCACTGCACATCTCAAGCTTCAATCAACTTGGTTGCCAGAATTGCTTCGCCGAGGAGCAAGCTTTGTGGGAGTTCAGCCGCCCGGCGCAACGAGACAAGAGTTTCACAGGGCTGTTCAAAATCAATTGTGAATCGTTTAGCCAAACCGTAGTGGTTTTCTTTGGGTTGCACTGCTGTACCACTTTGGGTTAGGGGTCAGGAAAAGGCGTCCCCTTAGTTTGATCAACCTAGTTTGATCAGGCCATTGATTTCCAGGAGGATCAATAGGGCCCAGGATTCATTGTTCTCATGCGACCTGGCTGTAAGACCGGATATACGATGGTCTTGACGCAGGACTCACTGCGTCCCTATTGGCTGACCTTATGACCTGAAAGTGAGGATTCATCAACCCCCTCGTTGATTTTGATTGGATGCAACCCATTTCAGACCGGAGGTCCGGATCACTTGGGGAACGCTCCCCTAGTAATCCGCTTGGTCTTTCTTTTTTTTTAATACGGGGTCAACGTTATAAGTACAAGCATACTCCACATATTCAAGCAGGGCCTCATCTCGATTGTTGTTCAGTTCCCTTGCATAGGTTGTGCTCATGTTGCTAGCGCAATATTCTAGGGACTGTGTCTTCCATCTCCAGGGCAATCTTAGACCAATTTGCAGAAGTCGTTGGGCTTCCCGCCAAACGACTCTGATTCGACAGGCATAGCTTGACAGCTCAAAGGCGGTCTTGCCACGGGCCCTTTTGAAAGATCCATTTCGGTCACAGTTAAAGGGGAGTCGTTCAACATTTCAGGGCCAGCAGTTTCCAGTGTTTGCAACCTGAATCAGCTGACATGGGCGGGTTTCTGATTTCAGATGGGGAGCATTTGGGGGGTTCCCGAACCTAACCAGCCTAAAAATGTACCCACAATCAGAACGCCACCTCACAAAGAGACACAGGCGATTGGTCAAGTCGCAGAATTGATGCTGCGGCCTTAAAGGACGGCCAAACCAGAAGTGTTTTTAACATGGTCTAGCAAAATCATGGTCAACAGTGGTTGGTTCCATTTTCGGGGTTTCCATTTTGTGGCTCTTTGGAGCATTCCTGAAAATGGGCGGACTTGGAGCCTGGTGTTCTGCGCTTTGCACGGTTGCGGCGAGCGAGGTTTGGGAGCAACTTGGACCCATGAAGTATTCATTGCCACACTGAAACATCTTGGACCTTTTGCCCTTTCTGCCTTGGGCTTTCCTTGATTCCCTTGCCAACATCTTTTGCCCCTTTTTGCAAGCAAACTTGAGCCAGGCCACGTGCTGGTCTACACGCGCTCGGTGTTGGCGGAGCAGAGTACACCGCAAGCTGCGGCGTTGAATGACACGCGCCGCGGCAAGGGTTCGAATCGATTTTGGTATGGTTTCTGAGTGCTTTGGGTACCCTTTGGGTACCCTTTGCTGAGTTGACAAATCTTGTTGGTAGCTGTCTGCTGCTTCGGGTTCGACGTAGGACAAATGTCCGACCAGAAAGTGAGAGTGCCCTTTGCTTCGTTGGGTTGCAACCCATCGTCTTGGGTTAACAGAATGCCCACCGCGCAACAGGACGGCTCCAACCTTGAGGACTGGAACAAGCAAATTTGGCGGGGTTGTATGTGATCTTCTTGAGGCCCTTGAGTGATGCTTGGCCCTGACTGCTTCTTCAATTGAGCAGCCCATTCGTGAAAGTCAGGGCATGGAAAGGGAATCCGGGGCCTACATAGGACCAGTCTTTGTTGATATTCACAATACGGACCAGAGTTCACCCCGGCGCCAAGCTGAGTCCACCTGCCGAGGATTTCGAGCGTGTCCAACGTGAGCTTCCCAGATCAAGATCTTGCAGCCTGGAAGCATAAAGTCGCCAAGTAAGGTGCTTTCAAAACAAACACGTTTGTTAACAGGATCCCAGGGGTGTTCGATCCCGAGCCATTTTCGGCAAGTCGTACCAGCGTCGTCCCACACTGCTAGCATCACCAGCAACTCTAGCATCGGGTTTCGGGCGGGGCGAAGTTTAGGGTTGCCTTGTAAGGCATTGTCCAGGCAGTTGAGGCCTGCCGCTCCGCCGAAAGGACTGTGTTTGTACTGCGCCACGTAGTTATTCCATTGGCATCACATTGTGCTCCAACCTTTCAAGAACACCAGTCATTAAGGACATCAATGGAATCAACGGTGGATCAGTACAAACACCATCCTGGCATCCGTCAAAGGCGTATTTGTTCACAGGTTTTGAACCTAGGGATCCCCTACAGCCAAGTGGCTAAGTGCCAGATAGCCCATATTGTGCAAAATGCGGCAAGGAAAGCCGAAGCGGACCCCTAGTTGGACACCCAGACTGTCCAGGATGCCCTGCAGCTGGGCGGCCGCGTGTCCTGGCTGCCCCCTGCTGAGATGTCGCAGGTCCGATGCCTCGGTTTGCGGGAGGGGTGGATGCGCAGCACCAAGACTGCCATTTGCTTAAATACGTTGTTGATGTTTCCCCGTTGTCCTGAATGGGAATCCGTCATTACTAGAACTAGTTGCATCCAGGGCACTCAAGCAATTGGGGGAATGTGTTGACTTTCTTCCCTAGGAACTCCCAGAGATGTGATGTGTTTCTTGCTTTTTCCCAAGAGGAAATCAAAACGGGGTTTTCCGGAAATGAATATTTGTCCAGACCACCCCCCAACTGTGACACCTCGGGGAAACCGAGAGAAAGGCTCCAAGGTCTGACGGGAGCCGAGCTGACCATGTAGTTTTCCAGGTTGGCCTGGAGTAGTCACCCAAATGATGCTGAACATTCATTTCCTGGCTGTAGGCAACGAATGTTGGGTACCCCTCCCTTGTTGGTTCTCCATTTTGGTTACATGTCAGCTATATATATATACACATGTGTAAATATGGGGGGTTAGGCAGTTTGGAGCCAGGAGGAGTACAGTACCACATAGAGCCGTTGCAGGTTACCATGGATGTCTATCACCATGTTGGCACTTGCGAACACTTCACCGGCCCACAAGATGTGAACATAACAGGTGATATCGCGATTGCAAATCAAGCAAAGCTTACAGCGCTGATTTCGGTCTGCCAATGGTCACACTGTCTATTGGATGAGCGATTGTCAGTTTGATTGATTGGTGGTACAGGCGCAAAGCAGAAGGCAACCCTCAATGTTGAGTCTTGAAGTTTGGACCCACGCAGACAAGTGGGTGGGTGTCGCTTGGCTTTCATTTGATCTACCCAAAGAGGGGCACGTTCAGCATTTTACGCTGCTCCCTGCGATTTCTGGACTTCGAAGCTGTGAACGGTTAGCGGTAAACCAAAAGTGGCTTGTCTGACCTATCCTTGGGTCGAGACTGTTTTGTCCTTCTTTCCGGAGTAGCATGTGTTTGGACATGCCCTCATCTTGTACGTTTCCGCAGGCATTTATTAGGTCCGTTAGGTCCTCTGCTTGCTTGCTCCTTGTGTTGCCTCGAAGAGTTTCTTACGACACCAGCAGACAAACTGCTTTTGCAGTCTCCAAGACCAACCCAATGCGCTAAGCAGATGTCATCCAAATTAATCGCTTCCCCCCGGTCCCCCCTATTGATAAACAGTCGTTTTAGGGAATTCATATTCACTACTTGGGTCCCAGGCGATCGCAGGGGTTTCCACTACGGTCCTCGTCCAAATGGGGCCACGCGCAAAAACAGTCAAAATCGTAATCTGCCCGGGCTGCCGAGTATGGACTGTATGTTAAATTGTTCCAGGCGCTTTTTTGGTTTTGCTATTTCAGTCTTAAAAGGGGAAATTGAATTTGCAATTTACAATTTGAGTGAAAATCTGAGAGAAGGCAGTACTCCAAATAGGGGCTGTCAGGAGTTTAGCATTGGTTTAGTATTGGGGTCAAGTAAAAGTAAAGGAGGTGATTTGTCTTTTGTGAATTTTGGCCTGAAACAAATAGTACAGGGGAAGGGATTTCTAAGGGGTTATCCGCCCAGCTCCTTTTGGCAGTGTCACACAAGTATGCTCACAGTGCCTCATGCCAGGGAGGATGATCAGCCCTCATTGGCTCTGCCTGAGATGCGAGCGAGCACTGATGTGGGGGTACGGCTGGGTAAATAGAGTTTGGCTCCGTGATGAAACATTCATTGGGTTTGGCATCGCTCTACGCTTGTTGCCGATCAAATGATGCCAGATGTAAGAATCCAAAACACGTCATGAGATTCAACCTCAAGTTGTGGCAATATCAGAAATGTCAAGTTTTAAGATCCCCACCCCCCCCCCCCCCCACCCAGCCAATCCCCGAACAAGAGTAAGAAGTGATGGTTATCATACGAACTCCCCCTTGCCCCAACCCTCCCTCCCTGGCGTTTCAACTTGATATCCGGTGGGATCCGCTTCGGATTCCTTTCCGGACTTTCCCTCAGGTGACGCACTATGGGATCTACCTGGCAGGAGGCAGGGTTGGCTCGAAAAGGGAATGTTCCTCTCTTTTCAAACGCGACCACTTGCAAAAACATCCAATTGCCGTCGGTCCCTGGCTACCACCCACCTTATCATGGATATGTACCCCTCGAGGAGAGATATTTGAGCCTTGGCAAATCTTTTAGAATATCGGTATGTACGACAGCCCTGGAATCCAATCACCAGACCGGAAAGGTCCGCTAAAGATAGGCAAGTTTGAAGACCTGCCAAAGGGAGGTCATTTCAACAGTGTGGTCGTTCATTACCCTATTCACGCAGTGAGTTTGCACAATCCGTGGAGGCACTGTCGCTCAAGGTTGAGTTCAGAGAATGTGTGGCCCGAATTGGTTTGAAGGAACGGATTTTAACAATGGCCTATGTGACATCTGGTGGTCGAAAGTCATTGTGCAGAACTTTTGTAAAGAGACTAGTGTCACTTCTTTTTTTTTCATTTTTTATGGGGCCTGGAAACAACGGTTGGTACTTTTTGCCGACATACCGGGGATTGGGACAAATGGAAGAGGCATGAAGAGACGTTCCGCTCGAGCGTCATGAACCCTGACAAGGCCCGGAATATGCCTAGGATAAGACCTCAGAAGGCTCTCTCTGTTGATAGGCCAGCTTGAACCCGGACCCAACTTCACGACCAACAAAGTTGGCATTTCTGGGACGACTGAGTAAGAAGCACACCTGGTGACTCAAAGAAACCTCAACAAACAGATGAAGTACAAGATTGCTCTGGGACGCAAATCTCGTCCCTGAGAATTGGGCAAGACAGGTTTGCGTGCAACTGGATGCTGCTTGCTGCCGCCTGGAGGTAACTAAGAAAGACAAGCCCTGCAACCACAAGATGGCTCAGCTTCTGCTCGCCATTGCTTCGCTAGGTGCTGGGCGCTCGCAAATTGGCGCGGAGCCTGCAGGTGGGGCCACATGTGGCTTCCCGTGAGCAAGGGTTGAACCTGAATCATTATGTAGATGCCAGCAACTAGCCAGATGTCGCATGGAATCATCTTTGTTCAATTTGCTTGCTGCTTCTGCGTCCAAACCTCCCAATTGCCAGTGGCACATGTGTTTCTCTCTTTGGGGTTGGCATCGCTTGTGCTTGAAACAAAATTACCCAAACTGTTGTCGGTCGCTCGTATTCTGGGTGTTTCGTAAAAGGGGGATAAGGGGGGACATCATGTTTTCCCCAGGGCCCCTGCATGCTTTGCGTCGAAATCATTCAGCTCTTCTCTCACCGGCGCGAGGTGCGGAGTACAGCGACCTGCAACCTGAGCAAGAGCTGGGGGACTGCGACTTGGCTAAAGTTGGGAGCACAGTCGGCTCCATGCTGACTGATGAATAAGCCCTGAGTTATAAGTCAGGGCATGAGGTTCTGCAAGGAGGAAATCCTCGCTAGGGACCCCCTTAAGTGGGGAGGGGGCAACTAAGCATGGGTCGGCATTGCCTGTTCGTTTCTGTCTCTCTGGGTTTTGGATCAAAAAACGGCACAGGTTGCAGGGAACCGGTCGGACCGGATCTGTTCTGTTTGGCTCCACACACTAGCTTCCCCCTAAGGCGCTTGGCCATGTGAGTTTCCTGCAAGGCATTTAGCCATCAACTGTTGGAAAGGCCATTGGTGTGATGTCGAAAGCGGAAATGAAAGGAAGTCTGTGGGGTGTCCTCAAAAGGCATAGGAGCCCTGACATGCTTGGGCTATGAAACCTGTTAGGCGTCAGTTTGTCAGCTTGTTGTTTCATGCAGCTTGGTGTCGATTTTGGTCAGGGTTATTCTTTGATTCTTGGGGGAGTCAACATGCCGTTTCAAGGTGCAATGTTACTGTTTTTCAGGCAGCCTTCGTTTGTGGGCGAGTTTCTTCTTGAACCCTTAAGATCGGATCCGAAACGCCTGTTGAAAAGTCGTGTCGCCGAGTCACGGACGTGCTCGTGTACACCTCCTCCGCCTTGGTGGAGCAGACCACTCCGCAGGCGGTCAAGCGTGTGCACGATTTCTCCGGCGCAAAACTAACTAATATCAGCCCAGGACTAATCTGTGTACTTTGAGCTCACCTGGCAAACCACGGGCTGAAGCCTTTGCAGGACGGCTGGATGTAGGCCCTGATCCGAAACGAGCGCCACAGCGAAATGTTTCGCCACAGCGTAAATGGGCCACAAACAACGTGCAGATGGAGGTGAACCTACAAGGGCATGCTTTGCTTCCCTGGCCGGCGATGCATGTCAGGGCTGATTATACATGATTATACTATTTTTGACCCGCTGGGACACCATCGCACATAGATGGCCAGCATCTTCGGCATTGCGGGACAACAGAGCAGAGCAATCATCCTGCGGAACTGTATGGCGGCGGCGGCATGGGCTCATGTTTGGTTCCTGACCGATGAGTGCTCCTTCATTCTGACATATTGCTGCCAATTGATGCAAACTTTTGAGGCTGGAAGGAACCGAGATTTGGAGTTTGAATAGCAAGTAGCCTTTCCCGTTGTGTGCAGATGGTATCGGCGGGCGGGGGATTCTCCTTTGCGCACTCTTTGTGTTGCAAAGCGCCCGGAGCCTGGCCATGTAATCAACGCGGATTGCGCCTTGGAGAGGCATTTTTCATGCACAAGCTGGAGCGCCAGTAGCATCAACGATGCATGGCCTTGCTCAAGTGCACATGGCGTCTCTTTCTCCGCCCATTGTGCTTTACAAGGCAATGGTCACTGCGTTGGTGCCCAGTTTCCAGTTGTGTGGCCTTCTGGCACAGTCACTTGTGACTGTGTCGCACAGTGAACGCAGGCTTGTGGGCTTGGATGAGGTTGCCATGACCATTCGCTGCACGCTGTCTGGGGGACATTGACGCATCATCCGCTTTGAAGACTACGCCGGTGACTGAGCATCTTCTGAACTGTTCCACTATGAATGCACACACCTGCTATCACGGCACGGCTTACTTGCCATTGCGTCAAGGCTACTACCCCCGGGCCAATACTTTTGATTTTGCGCCCTCTTTTGCGCCAGGCCCATTTCTCCTCTCACCCCAAATTAATGGCGCCTCGGCCGGGCTTTGGCATGGTGTTGATTCTCCGGGGGCAATAGTCCCTGCGCCCTACCATGCAGTTTCGCATCTTCACATTGGCCTGGGCAGGTCCGAGGTCCTTAGGTTGAGACAGTTGGTGATGTCCCATTTTGGAGGGTGTTTAGGGGAGTGCGCCCCTGAGGTGGGTTAGTCTATGGTTGCCGCCTGATCTTATTCACGTGTTCCTTCATCCAGCCGCTCCAAACCGATTCCCGAGACTTGGTTCGACTATGAGCCTTGCGTTTTTCGTGCGAGAGGGCAGCCTCGACAGCCTAGGCTCAGATACCATTAAAATGCGCTCTTACCCCCTATACGAGCGGTATGTAAACTTTCATTTTTCCAATACATATGCTTGAACATTTTCGTGGGATGCAGAACGTTCCCGCAGGCCCAGTTTTGCTTGAAAATGCTCTGAGCATTCTATGTTTTCCGCTGGCCAAACAGTCTTTTGGGAGTGTGTGCATACATAAGTCCCTGTTGTTGATGTCGCCTATGGCTTCCTGGGTTGGATTTGCGCGAAGCCCTGAAAGGAGCTTTTCAAATTGCACTCCGGGGTGTGGTTTTCTATTGGAACCCTGGGTCTTCCGCACTAAGTAAGCCCCAATCGGACCTCCTAATTTGGAGGAATGCCCTTCAGGTTTCGTTTGCCTCCGAAATCCATGCTTGACAACGCCCTTGGTTCTAGTCGCCCAGAACCCACAAACATATGGGACTGGGTTGCCAAGTTGTTCCTCTAATGCTCTAGGCCACTCAGACTCAAAGTCCCACCAGTATCCGTTCATCAGCTAGCTGTGTGTGTTTCTTATTGTGACGACCCAAACTCCACAAGAGCCCTTAGGCTACCATTCAAGATCCCAGCTGTCCGTGACACGCTGGAAATCCCATTATTTTTGTGGGTTTCTCGCAAAGAATTGGAAACCCCAACCGAAAAGGGCGTCAACCGGCAACGGGGAGATCTTTGGCTTCAGCCATGCGTTTGCACGGCCGTTTGCAGCAAAGGTGTTTTTTGTTTGTGGTTTAATCATACTCTTGGCACCTTTCAAAGCAAAGGTTGAACTCAATCATGGTAACACGGGTTCGCTTTGAACATTCGATTGGCAGGCGCTGAACCTCAGTGACACCAGCTCCAGCGTCTCCGGCGTGCGCTTCGTGGACGTGGACCTGGACGTGGCTCGGCTCGTCCGAGTTGAGAGCGGTGCGACCACTGGACGAATCAACCACTGGTTTTGCCAGGTTTAAGCAACCATTTTTGAAACAACATTTTGGTGTGACTCTCAAGGCACCACGGGGTGGTTGTTGAAACAATTTGTGCCCACCGGCGGTTTCCAGGCTGTCCCAAAGGTTTTGATGGATTTGGGTTGCGGAAATCAGACCTTTTCAGATGAAGCCGGGATCTCCAAAGGCCCACAAGTGACTCAGAGGGTACTGTAGATCTTGTGACAGGGTCTTGGATGCACTCGCTCATAGTGTTCAATGTCCTAAAAGGAAGCGACGGAGTTGTTTTTCCCCCAGGCCCTTTGTTGAAGACCCAGCAAAGCCTTTTAAGGTTGCCAAAGGAATGGAATCTCAAGAAGATATATTGGTCCAGATATGTATGGACGCCTGTTCTGGGAACTACTTTGTTGCTGCAAAGTTGTTAAAGGGCACAGAGGGCAACAACGAAATCCAACCAGTCTTACGGCAGGGTCCTACTGTTTGGTGACTCTTCAAATGCTCGAATGGTTTGAGAAAAGACATGCTTCCCACGATACAGCAGTCAAAACCACTGTTTCAATAATCGGACTTTGACATCTTATCTCCTTTAAGCCCTTCTCAGGGTTGCCCTTGTTGCCAAGATTCTCTACCCTGAAGACTCAACGCTCGGCGGGACATGCAACGAGATGCAATGACCTGGATTTCAATCCTGACAACATTGACTAAAAAACGTGCCCTGCAGGACTCCTTGAAGTTCTTCTTCAACCGGATCAAACAAAAAACCCTGCGATCTCACTTCGCTTGAACGAGGCCACTGAGATTGGCGGCGACGTCTTCTGGGACCCGCCCAATGAGTCGTCGCAGGTGGGCTTTGTGTTGCGCGTCAGCCAGTTTACAGAGCAAGCGGGGAACAAACAAAAGTATCCAGGGTACTGGGCCGCAAGGTTCCCATGCGCTCTCGCGGAATCAAGCGTTTTCTAGTTGATTGTCATGTTGGTGCATCGTAAGCTTTTCCAGTCGACTCAATGGGCCCAACAGGGTCTCACGCCACCCGGACCTGGAAAGAAGCTTTGGGTCCAAGTATGCCAAATGGGCTACCATGCAAGGTTGGGGCTCAGGGGTTTTGCGGGTCCAGAAGCCCAATTTCTGGTTTCGGTCCCTGTCAGGGCCCGATCTTTGCAGTTGGAGACATGTTGCCCTAAAAATCGTCACAGTTGTTGCAATGCAGCAACGGACAATCCAGGAATGAATTCTTCTACTAGGAACCAGTCTTTGTCAAAGACGGTCTTTGTCGGCGTTGCAGAAGGAGTATTATCCATTTTCCATGATTCCCTATATTGGTTGATGCAGTAGCATTTTTGCGGGGTGTGATATTACTATAATCAGTGCTTTCTTGCTGGTGCGTTCTTTTTTTTTCCCCTATGTGGTTTCCTAATCACGATTACTATTACGGAAGCATTGACAGCAGATTGTTGCTTGAGTTGACTTTGCCTTCAGTGTGATAAGTGAACCAGAATCAGCGCATAATCATTCTCAGAATAGAATAGATGCACTGATGCCGAAACCCCTGCAACACAAACTTTAACCGGAAATTCTATATCCACCCGTCAAATTGACATGGAGCCCAAACAATGAAGCCCGGAAAGGAGATTCCTCTACAACGCATACTGGATCATTTTTCATGTCAATCTGCAGGGGTGTCATTTTTCAAATCCGTATAAATTATTCCTCCAACTTGACTTGTTCATCTTTTGGCTGATTATCCTCTTCTCGCAAATGTCAAGGTTCGGGTGAACATGTCCTCCTGCAAGGCGCATCCAAGAAGCGAGGGAACTGCATTCCCCTAGGTGCATGCCCCAACCATACATTTATTTTCAGCCGAGGATGCCAGCCCAGATATGCAGGACACAAGGGGTGACTTGGGGAAAACATCCCAGGGGCACGCAGTTTTTTTTTGGGTTCTCCCAATCGGAACCTTTTCGTTGATCGTTTGAACCCCATTGAGAAGTTGATGACTATCCCGACCAACCTCGAGTCAAGGAGTCCTATGACCATGGCACACGTGCTACCTGTTCCTATCCCAAAGAAGACACATCTTCCGTGATGAAGGTTTGTCACTCAGACATTGCTTGGTTCAGATTGGAGAATTATACGTGCAGATTCCCTTCCTAGCTGAGTGAATTCCTCAGCTGAAACTTTCCTTGACGCCAGGTCTCAGGATACTTGTTGTACCTGGTCGGGCCGTCTGTGAATCGCTCGGCTGTGGGTGCGGCCACGCTGGGTACGGGCCCCTAGCGGGGCACGTTGTTTTGCTTGGCTGTCTGGTTGGCTGGTTGGCTGGTTGGCTGGTTGGCTGGCTGGTTGGTTGGTTGGTTGGTTGGTTGGTTGGTTGGTTGGTTGGTTGGTTGGTTGGTTCTTGGTTGGTTGGTTGGTTGGTTCTTGGTTGGTTGGTTGGTTGGGATTGGTTGGGATTGGCTGGGTTGGGTTGTTTGTTTGTTGGTTGGCTAATTTGGTTTGGTTTGGTTAATTTGCCGGTCTGTGTGTTTGCGTGCATTTTTTTTGTGCGTGGGCTTGTTTGTTTGTGTTTGTTTGTTTTGTTTTGTTGTGTTTTGTTTTGGTTTGTTTGTTTTGTTTTGTTTGTTTCTTTTGTTTGTTTTGTTTGTTTTGTTTGTTTGTTTGTTTGTTTGTTTGTTGTTTGTTTGGTTGTTTGTTTGTTTGTTTGTTTGTTTGTTTGTTTGTTTGTTTGTTGTTTTGTTTGTTTCTTTGTTCGAATGTTCGTTTGTTTGGTTGGTGGGCTGGTTGGGCTTGGTTTGGCTTGGCTGATTTTGTTGCTTTTGTTTGTGTGCTTGTTGGTTGGCTTGAGTTGGCTTGGTTTGCCTGGTTTGGTTTGTTTGCTTGCGTGCTTGCTTGGCCTCTCAGACAGTCGGCCGGTTCCAGTGGAGGTATGTTGGCGGCTTTGTCACATTTCTTGGCTGCTTCGTTGGTTGGGTGGGCGGGTGGCTGCCTGGGGGCCTAATGGCTAGTAAACCCATCCCCCTTCTCACCCTTCAAGGTCAAAAAGGTTTGGCCAACAAGTCCCCAAAACTTAGATTTTTTGGAGGACCCCCCCGATTAATCTGGAGTCCCAGCGGTCCTCGTCCTCTCACTTCTGGCCCCTTCTGGGCAATAGGACAGGCAACAGCAGTTCTTGTTGGTTTTGATGCTAATGAGGGGGGGCTGGCCTCCCAAGGATTTTTTTCATTGCGAGCTTGAACACCTTGTTATGTTAAATATTCAAAAAAGAACAACTGCATTCTGGGGAAGCACATGTTTGGGGGAAACTTGAGGGGTTCAATAGCGACTTAGCATTGGCGGGTTTAAGGACAGACTAAGCAAATACTAAGCAAGAAGGAACACCCCTTTTCTGCCAGGTTGTTTTGGCTTCGGGTTTCAGAGATACGTTTAATCGGGGGGGATGTCTAGGAGACAGGAACATATATTCAGTAGGGTCTTTTGGGCAATCCTTGTTGGCCCTTTACTTTAGTATTGGTGGGAATCTGGGAGGGAAAAGGGGAAACCTTTAATCGGGGGGTTTACTAATCGCGCGCTGACATTAGGTGCTGCAGCTGGTTTTGCCAGCTACTTAATTTGTTCATTTCCACGGCCGTTTCATTTTCCCCTGTTGGCCGTGAAAAAACAGTCTAAATGTTCATGATTCATGACTCGTACATGTGTTGAGTTGTTGTGATTGGCACCTTTGGTAGCTGAACATGTGCGAAAGTCCTTGCAAGTCTCGAAGAAGCGGGGAGCTGACACCCTTTGCGTAGTCCGGAGTTTTCCGGAGATGTGCAGACTGGATCCATTCTCAGTATCGTTTATGAGTCCATGCGGTGAAGGACAACGTTCAGGTGCTTGTTTGTGCAAATGCAGGCTACCCCCAAACAACGCAGAGGCAAGCAAACAACACACACATGCAGTGAATCCAGGGCCTCCACAGCGTTGCCTTCTGCATCTCCAGAGCTTTTTCCAATTTAGGATTGACAAAGTGCCCCTTAACACGTGGATATTGTATCCGGAGTAGCGGGTATGTGTTCATGACACACCCGGACAAGTAAGGCAGAAGGGCTTCGATCGGAACCCCGATGGAAAAGCTCGGTGTGACTCAAGTCTGCAAAGCACGCTTGTACTTGTACAAAGGATTGTTACATCTCAAAGCAAGGAACACATAGACACATCAGACACGCATCGCAAAATGCAAAGCTACGCGACAACCTAAACATGTGATATTGTGACTCTACACATCAACAGTCACAATATGTTTTGTTTCTTCCTACTGTATAGTCTTGTACACATATGCCACACATCTACGTTTCACATTTGCAGCTTACAGGCAAACACGGGGCCCGCTGGGTCCGCGCGGCGCCCAAGCCCCAGGCACCAATACTCTGCCGGTGCCGGAGGAGACTTTGCCGCTCGAAATGTCCGCCTCGCAACGCGCAACGGTGGGGCCGTAGTCGGGGCGTCAAGGGAAGGCCAAAGGAAACCAACACCATCCATTGGCAGAACTAGCTGTCCTTTTTGACAAATAGATGGATTTGATTGATGCATTGAGCTTTAGCATTCACAAGACACCTATCAAAAACCTTTGGCATGTCATGCCCCCCCCCCCCAACCGTTTCAAACTATATACCCAATGTGGAATCAGTTGTAGGCTTTTGGCTCGTTTGGGAAGAAGGAGGCTCTCCGCGCAAGTTCCTTCCGGCAACAAGGGGGGGGACTGAATTTGGATTTGAATCGCCCAAGCTATCAGATGCCGGGTCAGTTCGGGGTGCGCGTTTGCCATTGGACCTTTGACGGAATATAGAGGACCCCCTTATAGTGAAGAAGCCTTTTAAAGAAGGTTCAGAACCAATCAACTAAGGGCTAAACCAAGTAGCGAACCCTGTATGATGTTGGCCTTGAATGACGAGTCCCCTCCCTACACGGCCTGTTCTACGACAATGGCAGCCTTTTTGCTGAGTTTTGGACGGGAGAGTTTTCCACAGGGAACTCTGGACTTTCTCGTCAAAAGTTGATCAAATCACTTGTGGCTTCCAATGAAACTCCAACTGTTGGACATCCCAAAGGGAAATTCTGCAAATGTTGCCAGTCTCAGCCAAATTCGCATTTAGGATCGCAGAGTTAAGCACGCATGTTACTTTGTCCAGTAGCAGTGCATGTTGCATATGCCGAACGCTTTGGTCATCCCCTCAATATGAGACACGGAACCGGGCCCTGGTTTGCGTAGACAATTTTGTAAGTCGCCAGGGGCGTTCTCCAACCAGAGTACTGCACTACCCCTTACATACCCCGGCTCAATTGGCCAGCCTCGGCTTGAAATGAGAATAATTCAATTCCGCCATACTCCAACAACAAGTTACTTGCTAAATCTCAAACGAAACGAAGATGTGTGAACCGCAAAGCAAGAGTTGGTGCTTGTTCAAAGTAGCCTTAACAGAAATCCCAGCATTCTGGGTAGGACTGGACATTGGGACAACGGGCCTCATATCCTAAGGTCAGAGCTTTGAGTCACCTTGAATCAAGGCACTCCTTATGGCAAACCAATCTTCGGGCGCAACTTATGATGCTTTTACAGGAACTTCGAGTAGTTGGTGACTCCGAGAAGACCCTGGATCCCCAAAAAAGGAAGCTGACCCATGATGAGGCTCCTGGAGCTTTCTTTGATTGCGGTTTGCGACTTATAGTCATTTGCCCAGCTTGTTACAATGTTGTGGCTTGCCTACCGCTTTCTCGGGAGAACATGAGCCATGAAGCACCACCCTCCGGCGCACGAATAGGCCACAAGATTTGGACAGGCGAATGGTTTTTCAACAGTTTTGCACATTCCATGCTTGTTGAGTGGTGCGGTATAATTACTAGCTTAATTGACCAATGGCTGACAAAAAGGGCCGAGACACCGAAACCTCCGGGAAGATTTTGCCATACATCAAGCCACCGCTCGCTGACCACTGCATGGTTATGGGATTTTGTTTTGTAGGGCCACTTTTGTGATACCAGGAGAGTTTTGTTCAAAGTGATAACATATTTGTGGGAATGGCATGTATTGCTATCGCAGAAACCGTGATTTGCGACAGCCATGGACAAACGCTGCTTTGAAGGTCGCGGAAGTACCGAAGTACTTGCACCGGTCAGCTCTCCTTTGGGATCCAAGGGAGAGGGCTTTCAAAAGGTCTTGTTTTGAAGGCCCAGTGAATTGCTACATTCGGCCAGGGACTTGGAGGGGACGGTATCGCCGTTGCCCGATTTCGGTGCCAGGGAAGAATGGACCTCACGCTCACTTCCGCCCAGGGGGGTAACTGTATTTTTCCGAAGTTAGTTTGAAGGATAACTTGGACCAATACATACCGAGGGTCCTTTTGCGATGTGCCCTTTGGGTTCCATGACATGCAGGAAAGGACGCCTCTACATTCCCATAGTATCTAGCGATAGATCTAAATGCCCGCAAAACCAGGGACCACTCATACAATCCGGGAAAGCTGGCCGGACAGGAATGTGAGTTTTTACTTTTGGAAGAATGACATATTCCACATTTCAGGAGGTGTTCCAAGCTTTCATGTGGAGCAAGTTTTGGGTGAGTTTGATGCATTTGACCCCTGGACATCTCGGTGCTGACGGGAAGCAACGAATCCCAGGCTTCCGCCTTACGACAGTTTGCTGGTGTACACCTCCTCTGCCCTGGTGGAGCAAACTACTCCCACCCGCTTGGTCATCAGCAGCTTGGACAGGGAACCCTTGGGTCTCAAAATTTGGGGACCCCCAAAATGGTTGGCTTCTCTTTTCGTGTGCCTTTGAAGTCAACCAAGACAGATTCTCAAAAAAGACACTTACTTTACATGAGACATGCTGAGATGTTGCTTTCCGAAAAGGCATCCTCCTTGGAACAGATTGTTCTTGTTCCTGCAATGAAGGGTTGTTAGCCCAACCAATCGAGGCACCAGGCACTCGTTTCAAACACCTTTGTGTTTTCACGGAATTTGCACAAAATTCGGACCTAACAAATCAAGTGGCGTTACTTCAGAGGTCCCTTTGGTTTCACCGTTCCCAGTGAGGTGATGCGTCTCAGCTGGACGTTTGAGCAACCCATTTGGGATAGCTGGCAAGTAGCAATGGACAGCTTCAAACGAACCCCCTGGTGCTGAAACACGAGTGGCTTACTTGTTGAGTTGACAAGCTGACAAATGGGTTGTTCTTTCCCGCATTTGAGCCAAAGTCCAAAGCTTTCTGTTGGCCAGTGAACTCAGGTCCATGCGGGAAACGTTCAAAACAGTCAAGCTTGCAGTGAGCTGATGCATTTGAGTATTCTTCAAGTGACTAACGTGATTTCGTAGTGATTCTTGTGTATCGCTCATTACGGCTTTTCACTGATGCAACACAAATTTAGTATTGCATTAGTATTGCACAGTGCTGTTTGGGATTGGTTTTGTCTTGGTTTAATCATACATGTGTGACAACACCCTCGGACAAATTTACGCAGTTTGCATTCAGGGTCTGGGCTGCACTCCCGTCCATAGTTGTCGAGATGGCACGTTCGTTCCAAGGCTGGGAATTCGCCCTTTGGGGCTTTGGCTTGTCTCAGATTGTGAGATGTCTTAGGCGCAAGGAAATGCGGCTCGGTCGCCCGGGCTTGGTGCCAACGGGGCAAGGGGCAAGGTTGCAGGGTTGGGGACGCGGGGCCAGGCACAAGATCGCACATTTTCTGCACTGATCTCCGGACTGCTGTATCTTTGTGGGGCAGTGAATAATTGCTGGTAAACCTATTAGTGTACGTGTTTGTTGATTTTATATAATATACATGTATCAACATCAAAGGGATTCTCATCAAAGCGTTCTCATCGAAGGCTTCTCAACGAGCCTTGCTAGGTAATTAGGGGGCTACTGATTTGTCTCTTCTTACCAAAGGAGTCTTTTGGGAACCCTTGAACAAATAAACCCTATAGCCTGGGGCCGATTGGTCCCATTTGAGAGGGGCCGCGACCACTTTAGGGGGTCTGTGCCTCCTTAATGTTTTCAACCGTTTTGGTTGGCTTTTCTTGCGGATCACGGATTCACCACTGGGGTTCGCTGCAGGGTTTCGCCTCCGGAGGTGACACCAGCGCTACAGTGACAGAGGTGCTGTTGGTGGACAAGGACTTGGACTTGGATCAGCTCGGCGGAGAGGCCCGTGCCAAGCGTAGGGTGCGTCTCATTTTTGAGGGACCCCACACCTGGAGGGGGCATTTCCCAACCGAAAGGAATTCCCCCCGAGTTTGGGATATACGGGTCTCAGGTTGGACACGTGTTTAGTAATGCATGTGTTTTATTTGGGCTGTTGGCAGAGGCGATCCTTCCAACTTGAACAGGCCTGGTAGTGGTTTTGATATATATTTTTTTCCAGGATGACTGGCCAACAAGCCATTTTCAACAGCCCAGTTGTTCTTCCCGTGTCAACGCTTGCAAGTGGGAGGACAACTGGGGCGAGCCACACGAATCAGTCCCCCAATGTTGGCCTACATCTCAGATAATGAGGTTCCACCCATCTTACACGTGACAGCAGCCGGAAGCCTTGCGTCAGAGTCGTTCGATATCACGATAGGAGCTTGTCTCGTCAAGGACTCACCACGACTTACTCCTCGACTCACTGGAAGTCTGTTTCTGGGAAGCTTATAGAAGGCCGCCGCCGTAACACATGGCTTGAAACATTTAAAGTGAAAGCGGCTCGAGTTCAGCGGGAGTCAGCAAAGCGGAGAAGTGTTTTATTATTTTCCACATACGTAGGCTCGGACTTTGTCTTCCGGCGACTTAGGGGCGCGTGCACTTGATTCGCGGATGAGAGTTGATTTGACAGGGAGTTACGGGCGGTTGCTTCAGGCTAACTTAGGATCACCCTCTTTCCAACATGGTGGACCGGAAGGTTTTGGAAGACTGCTATGCTCTTGACAAGGCCCCTTGTCCACTTCCATTCTGGGAAAAAGGTAAGGAGCGGATTCAGACACTGGAGAGGTGCAGTACTGCCAAACCGGCACCCCTCTGATTGTTTGGGTTGCATGTAAAAGCCAACCATGCATGCCCGCGCTGGGCCTTCTTGGGAACTGGTTTCCCATAAATCCACAATGAGCGGGCAATCAATCTGGGTAAATAAGGGGTCTACAAAATTCGGAGTTGCCCATACCCTTTTGGGTGTTCATGTGGGAAAATCAAACGTTGCGGCCTTGGGTCACTGCTCAAATCACTGACCAAGCTCCGTACCATATGAGCCGCAAGAGGATTGACAGAGCGGCTGCACGTGGCAAGGGGACACTAAGCTTGTTTACCCATAATATCTACCCGTGCGGTTTTGATCGTGGCTTTTGTGCGGTTTTGATCGTGCGGCAAAGCACAGTGCTTGCCTTCCAAGTTCCAGATGAAAGGTTGAAGGAGCAAGGCACACCTCAGGAACAAAGCCATATTTCTGGGCTTTTGTGGGTGAGTCAGCCAGATTCCAGATATGTGTTCGTCTATTTCTGGAAAAGGGCCACCAGGCAATGGACGAAAGCGGGCTTGAAGCCTCCAGGCAGCTGGGCAAGGGGATGACTAAACCAACATGGAGGACTTGTGCCATCTACTTTAACCCAACTGTGCCCTGACGACGGCTTCGAGCAAATTTTGCCAGGTGACATGGCTGGAGCCCAGTGACACCGCGCAGGTGAGCAGCTACGCCATCTTCCTTGAAGGACAAATTTTATCCCGGAAGGGATCCAGTGGGGTGCGGTAGCAGGTGTGTTTGCTTGACTGGTTTGAGAATGACGGTTTTTCCACTCCGTCAACTTCTCCTGTTTGGTTGGAAAGAAAAAATGGCTCACCCCTTTATGAGGATAGAAGCCCTCTCTATTTCTTTCAGGGCTTCCAGCTCTTTTGAGGGAGGCCAAATATTTTCGAGGCCAAACGAATCGGCCAACCGTTGCATACCCTGTGTTGAAAAGGCCAACGGATGAAAGGTCTTTGCGTCAACACCTACCTCTTATATGCTTCAAACAAAACCAAATCTACTGCCCTCCCTTATGAGAGCTGTTCGTAAACCAGCCCCCACTTCACTCGCAGGACCTACGGTGAACCGCTCGCAGATTGGACTCGTAGCGGTGGGCTTGAGCAACAGTTCCCTGCCGCCAGACACGGCTTTGGGAAACTTCACGCAGGTGGCCATCTACACACGCACCTCGTCTGAAAGTCGGCGTTGGGTGAATGACCTTTCATGAAAGAATGTTTAGGGAGGTGCCCCAGGAAGGTACCTGACCTAAACACTTTCAAGGCAATCCAAACCATCAATTAAAGGTACGCCGGCATCTGCCTACTCAGGCAATCATCATGTCTTTTTCTGCCTTTTGCTGGTTTTCACATCATCTTTCACCCGGCTCATTCCAGAGGCCAGAAAAGAACTCTTGGTTTTCCGTGGGCGTGTCCTTTTTTGAGGGACCCCCAGGCTCAGTTGAGAGGCAAACTCCTTTGGGGGTTGGAATGGGTCCGCACTTGGGCGCTAGACCTCCACGAGGACGCCTGGCCCGGACAAATATTTGCAAGGTAGACTTGAAAGGAGGAATTGGATGGCCAGTGCACACCCACCGGGTTGGTTCATGGATTAAAATTGCAAAAGGATTCCCCAAGTATAGCCCTTAGACCTGCCTGGCATTCTGGCATTCTGGTTCCATTTAAGTGTGTCGCTTTTGGATGTGTTTAGATGGTACGGGAAACCAAGCATATTGTTGGAGTCACGTGTTGCGACTAACCCAGATAGTTTTTGCCTTTGGACAACGCAGAAAACACGGGCCATAAAACGTGGAGCTGGACTCCTTTCGATCATCGTGTCCCAAAGAGCGACAACAGCCCTGGTTGGCTGTCAAGCACAATTCAGCAACCAAAGCACTGAACAAATGTTTGTGCTCATGAAGCAGGACTCCATCAAACATGGAGAGATGTAGTCAGAGTCAAGTCCAACATGTAGAAGTAAGGAGCCCTAGCCATTTGGCTTGTGGTTTGCGGGTTCTGTGTGCAATGCTGTTGCACTAGGTGTCACACCACGTTGTTTTTTTTCCAACCCTGCCTGGGTTTCTAGGTTTATCCGTGGCTCGCACTCTGACCTTGCTAATTGAGCCGGGAGGCTCGCAGCTGGTGGAGCAGTCCGTGCCAGCAACCTTCAGCATCAGCACCGCGGCTGAGTCTGTGGCAACCAAAAAGGGGATACCCGCCACTGGCTTGGCCCAGACCTCCAGTCGTGATCGTTTTTGTTCAATGGGGATTTGTCTTCAGACTCAACAAAGAATGCTCGTCGATTTTATCCATGGCCACTACATTTGGAAGGGCTGTAGCTGGGTACTTGCAGTTTCTTGATAGAAAAGCATCCATAGTTCGTTGTTTCACCACTGTAGGGTTTGCACGATTTGTTGAGCACCTCGATCAGCTTGTTCAAACTGGTGCCTCCAAGGATTCAGGTCCAAACCCCTACCACACTTGCGAGCCTTTTGTGGCTTTCCATCCAGACTCCGGAAGGGTATCCTGGCTTACGCCTCGGACAGAAGGATCGGCTTTGGCCGCTGGGTCTCATTGTTTCCGTATGTTTCCGTCTTCGGTTCCCGGAATTTCCTATTCTGTGTACCCGAGAAAAAAGAGGGGGAGCGAGATGAGACTCAGCTAGAGTTTGAAGCCCAAGTGGGCAAGGCGGGTGATTGAACTCTGCAAGAGGGGAAGCTGTGGCCTTTTGACCTTCGAGGGCACCATTCGATTGGTAGAAGGGAACCAGAAGTCCTCAATTCCAAGAGTTTTCCTTTGGTTGTTCGGGAAATCATTCACAAGCTCAACATGACCGGTGTTGTGTTCTGCAGTTTCCGAAAACGGTCCTCCTATGACATCCTTTTTCAGCATTATGTTGGTTGGCACAGACATGGGAACCAAAGCAACGCCATGCATGTTCGTGATCTGAAGATAGAGGTTGACATCTGAGGCGACAGCCTGGCTTTGGCGCTTCACCTGTCATTCGCAGATGAGGACATGGTTGTGGACATTCGGGTTTAGAGAAACTTTCTAAAATCAAATGCTAAGAGTTTATCACTACTATCCCGAAGGAAGCCGGACTTTGGTACTCTGGGAAGAATCCTGCACCTGGTGAGATGAACCCCCCTGAATTCCGTGAATACCGGGATGAAGCAGGGGCAGGATTTTGTCCATCCAGGTAAACGGCGCCACCAAGATCGGACCTTTGAGAATTTAGGGGGGGGGGGTGAGTGGGATGGGGGATGGGGTCGGATGATGGCATCGTCCACGTGCAGTTCAGAGGACCGGCATTCACGTAGTGCTTGAACATCGGCAATACTGTCATTTACATGGTGTTTTAGAAGAGACACGTGCTGTAAGATTCAAGACAGGCATGCTGTACATGTAATTTAAGAGAGGCGCCCCCTGCACTTGTGTACGTCATTGCTGCCGTGCATCAGATGCATGCTTTGGAAGCCGGGTCAATGGTGGGGAGATTCTTGTCTTTACTATCATCATCCTTGTGTCACCATCTGCCGGGTAATTCCCTTCTTAGCTACTATCTCCCGCGGCAATGATGTGTGTGTGTGAACAAAAAAAGCAAGAAGTGATAAAGGGAAATGGGAGCGCGAGAAACAGAGTAAGGAATAGCATCTTGTCTGGATTCTATTTCCCTTTCTTCTAGTCACAGCAGCCCGCCTAAAGACGTTTTTTTGTCGGAAAAAAAACACTAGACCACGGCTTTTCTGATTTGGGTGATGCCGCGTGGCTCCGTCCACAGTATCACAGTTTTGTTTTGGTTCCCTATCTGGGGTTTTGAAGGGCAACAAAAAGGAAACCACCCAGTTTGTGGGTTCCCCTTCAGACAAATCTATTTTTCACAAACCAATGAGGACTTGGACGCTTGGCACCTGGCGGGGGACTTATCCTGGCAGCCTCCCGACGTGGCTGCGGGGTACGCCTTGGCTCAGGTGACACATTACGCGGCTCGGCGGTCAGAGATCAAACATACCCTCCAATTGTTACCCACGCCCTTTTTGGGGGGTCGCTTTTCTGGGAGTATGATGTCAGCTGCCCAGGAAAAAGCTTGTCTCTCGTCTTTGTTCATGATCGACCCCATCTGCCCTGGGCGTGGAACAATAGAAATCACAGGATACATTTGGGTACCAAGGGACTGCCGCTACATCGTTCAAACTAGCACTTTCTGAGCAAATGATTGAAACAGCAGAAATCAATGGCACTTGTTGGATCTATGATGTTGGTGTCGAATTGTTTTAGTGGAGTCTAGTACTGGTTTTAGTATGAGTTCTGAAGTGTCCCAGAATACAGCTGCGGTCGGCAGGACATCTGCTGGTTTTGAATTGGTTTGGTATTGGATAATTGGCATATTTGGGGTCTGGGACATGATTTATCGATAGCTCGCATTTATTTAGGAGGGCGGATTACTTGACACCCGGTAGTATATCATGCTCGTGGAATATGAAATACGGGTGTCTACATACATGCTATATACTATGTCATAGTTTATTATAGCATATTATATTATATTATATTATATCATATCACATCATATTCTATGTTTACATAATATATGTACGTGCGCGTTGGTGTGTGCACGATATACAGTGAACCATTTTATTATGAATACACATACATTGCATATATACACGTACATGCAATGAACATGTAGTCGTTTTACACCCGTCGTTTTCACATACCGCCAAGGGCTGCAAGCCACAATAAAATCAGCGACTCGGCCTTTTCTTATCCCTACTTTCCAATTGATCAGAGTGTCGCGGGAGGGATCCAAGGAGCCGTGAACATGCAAACAATTTTCTTTTGTGAAGCCGAGCGCCAGTCCGTCATAGGTTTGACCGCGGTTTGGGGCAACTGCCATCTCTTGTTTGTGATGCCTTTGGGGAATCCCTTTGTAGTTATCGGCATGGCCCGCCTAAGTATCACAGAAAGGAGGATTCCTAGCAACTCTGCGCGACCACGGTCAAACCGAACTGGTCGTTGATGGGTAGTTGGAGACCATTTCACCAGGCACAGACATGCGATCTGTTTCTTTACGTGGTTTGGGTAGACCACTTCAATGCCGAGTTTGGAGTATTAGTATGAGTTACATAAGGTCTTGCGAGAGTCTCGGCCTTTCAGAATAATTGTCTGCAATGCAAAAACATCCCCTTTCAAGTGGTGAGCTGGTCATTGTTGAACATAACATTGTTGGATTGGAATCCTACTTGTCACAGGAAGGGCGCGCATTCGCCACCATGCACCATGCTTAAGGTCCTTTCCGCCCTTTCCACCAACCAAGACACATTGAAGCTTGGCGGGTTGGCCTTTTGCCTTTCCGAGCCTGCAACTGGGGGTGTACTTGTATGTTCCCTAGACTTGCGTTGAGCAACATCCTACTTTGTTGACCTTCACTAAAATGATGTTGGTTGACGAAACATAAATTCTAGTTGTTGTGTTGAACTTTTACCAAGCGCATAAGTGACTGAATCAATCACTTTATATACTGGACTCGCAGACTATGGGGTCCATGCAACCAAAAGCCTTTTGGTGCCCCAAGTCGACCAAAGATGACCAAAGCCCCAAAGTAATACCCACTTGCTTTGAGGGTATGATTTCAACCCTTGACTGCACCAAAGAAGGCATTTACAGGCAAAACGATTTTTCAGATAGTCTACATCAAGGCCGGGCAGCTGGGGCTGGGTTTCTGTTTTGAAGAGTCTCTAATTTTGGATTGGTTTAAAGAGAGATCAAAGAAGGAAAGCCACATGTGTTTGTTTGTTTGCTGCATTTATTTATTTTGACACATGCTCATACAATTTAGTGGAGACCTGCAGGTCACCTACCTGGCGGACGACCCCTCAGGCACCAACCGCTCCTTGCTGGCGGAGGTTCCGCTGGGTACCCATCAGCAAACGCTGCAGCAGGACGAAATCAAATTCCCCGCGCGCATGGCGAATGCCGGCATGTTTTGGTGATTCCCATTGGGTACGTGTCATACGGGGACCAGGTTTTGTTGGCTTAAAAGGGCAATTAAATGCACGCGAATACGGCGAGTTTCGGAGCGCCAGAACCTGAATGGAAGGACATCCTAAAGCCTCAGACCAGAGAATCTTCAAGGAACAATTTGAAATCTAAGGAACACCAGTCTCTGGCTTGAACACCCATACCAGAAAATGCCTTTGGCCAAACCAGAAGGGTTCATCCCCCATCATCTTCACCTTATTGTCAAGAAAGCACCACCATGGTTGGGAACAACTTAGTTTATCGCCATCAAGAGGATTCCCTTGAAGTGATACAGTCATAGACAAGATAGTTATAGGCATGGCCCACGTTTGTATCACAGAAAGCGTGATTTCGCACAACCATGACCACCACCATCCCCAAAGACGAATGCTTGGTAGCTAGCCCCTGCATTCGAAACCCCTTGGATTGATACGCATGAGGTACCTGCCATTTGATTGGACAGCTGTCCATTATATGAAAGGACCAGGCATGCGACGTGGTGAGATGTGGCTATGAGTTTGTTTTTGTCCCACCCCGCACAAATGGTTGGCGTACACAAAACGGCATCATGATGTCCGCCAAAGGTTACTCCTTTTAAGACTCATACTCGTACCTGAACTAAGGTTTTATTTTTTCCCCAAAGGACAAACGTATGAACCCCTCAATACCCTCTTTAGGTTGCATGTTCTTGAAACCCGACAAGGCGGTCACGGGGACCCACTAGTACTTTGATATCAGGATGCCTTTCCCCCAATCGTGTTGTCGGTCGTTTTGATTGGAAGGACACAGAGCGGCAGCTCTTTCTGCTGGTCTACACCAAGTCTGCGCTGGTGGAGCAAACGACCCCTGCCGCGCTCTTTGCCAGCCACCCGGCACCGGAATTCCTTCAGATTCCGGCCTCCCCATATTTTCTCTTGGATGGTTCAAAGTTCAGACCTCACCTTTTGGGGCCCAGAAATAAATTTAATTTCGTTGAGCGGGGAAAGGGGAAATCTGTAAGTGGTCTGTTTGGAGACCTGGACCGTTCAAACCCTCATTATTAATTACCGGGAACTTGCCCCAGCATGGTGATGTGTTTCCATTTTTAAGCGTCGTAGGGTTCAGGTAACCAGGTGCCATTCATGGACGTGTGAAAGGTCATGCTCCAGGGTTTGTCATCCGAACGGGCCATGATCAGCAGGTATCCCCAGCTTACGTCGAGTCGACTGGTCCAGTATTTTGAATTGTTGCTCGAAAGTCACTCCCAAGTTACCCCAGTTTTGTCTTTGGTGACCCTAGCAGCAGTCAAATTCATGGGCCCGAGTCAACCAGAAGGTTTCCCAATCTGGGGTTGTGTATTTTTCCCAAACTTAGAGCGCCAAACATGGGAAACTATTACCTGGCCACGAAATTGCAGTTTCTTATCCTTCAAAGCTGGAAATATAAGGCCCCGTAGATTTTTTGCGTTGGCCGATTTCTGTGATACTGAATCTATTTCATTATCAATGGTTGAATGTGAAACCCGCCGAACGGTATCGCAGATGGCATGCATTTTCTACGTGCCCCGAAGTCCCGAAATCTCAAAATCCCGTGGGCTCCTTGCGAAAGGCAAATCATTTTACCCCTGATGGTTGGCATTGGTTGGCTCTCCAAACGACTTTCCTTTCGGGCAGCGGGGACCAAATGACTTTCCTCCGCTTGGCCGGTCACTGCAATCCTAACCAAATAATCGTCGGCTGACGGAGTGAATATTGGCTTTGGACAGTCCCAACTAAAAATAGGTGCGCCAAGCCGCCCAAACTGTTTGTTTCAAACCAGTTTGGGTTGAGGTTCACACCTGCTGCCAGCCCTGCTTTCGCTGATTCACTGTGGGCTTGTGGGTCCTCCCTTTCGGAAAGACCCTGCCTTTCCTTAGAGTTTCAGCCACTTCTCCCAAGAGTGTACTAAATAAGCCACTCCCCAACAGGTGGGTTACGTTCCCTTTCAGTTCACTGTCACACCAACCTCAAAAAGGTGTCATTTCACCCACATTGGTTCCCAAACGGCGCTTGCTCAGAAGGCGGGAATTTTCTAGACCGCACCCAAAGCAAAAGCAGGAAAAGAGGCAAGGAGCGCCTTGCAACCATTCCTCCTATGACCAAATCAGAGAACCCAGAAACCACCCCAAGAACTTCCCACCGTAGTTGGCCTGCTTTCTTCCTAAAGCTTACTCCCCGCAGGCGACTCGGCGTCTCCAGTGGTGAACGTGACCTTTGTGGACAAGGCGGCCGAACACTTTTCCCCCTGGCGGCCGACCGTAGCCGGAAATTAGTACGCAGTGCTGATTTTTGCCAAGTCGCTGAGTTCTCCGGTGTTTGTTGTTTGACGTTTTTGAACCAGACATCCAGGTCATCGAGTCATGACACCCAAAAGTGTCGCACAAAAACGTGGCAACAGGACCACCTGATTCATCAGTAAACTTATGCATTGTGTCTGTTGTTCTTTCAATGGTAGAAATCCAAAGTGTCACCCAAACCTTTTGAAGAGATCCCCAGCATCCCTTTGGAGGAGCAACTTTGTTTGACAGGCCTTATCATGGAGTGCATACTGGCCATGGGCTAGACACCTCGCAATGTTCCCTGTTGGTGTCCCTTTCTCAACGGACTTGTCCAAGTAATTGGGTTTCGAAAAGTACACGGAGTCGGCTCCTTGCTCATGGTTGTTGACAGCTTGGTTTTAAGACCACGCTTTGTGATGCCATTTTTTAAATGACAAAGCAATCGCACGGGCGGCCCACTTTGGTTCATTCCCAACGACGGATCCTTGGCAGCCCCTCCATGCAAAATGATTGAACTGTTACCCAGGTACCTTGCAAGGGTTTGCAGCAGGACCTGGACGAAGGGGAGATGGGTGGGACCATCTTCTGGGACGAGCCTGCGGACCTCGCGCCCCTCGGCTCGTGCCGTCCAAAATCAATGCTGGGCCGCCCTGAAGTTCAGGACCGCCCCCACCCCCCGCCTTCCGAGGGTTTCTACACCGGTTTCTTTATCTTCCAAATCTATTCAAACCCTGAAACTACCCCAGAACACTTAAGGGATGGTCAAGGTGCGCAGAAGGGTTTGGGCTCACACTGCGCCTGGGCCTGAAGAGGCGCGTGACCAAGTACTGCGTCTACCGTTCCGCGGGCGCCGACGGCGTCTTTGGGCGGTCCAAGCTCTACAACGATGTGCTTGTCGGCACGGCTCCGCCGTCTGTGCCCGTGTCCGCGGACACGCGGCCTGACAATGTGCCACAACCCCTAGAACTAGGCCTAGAACTAGGTAAGTTAAATGGAAGCCAAATTGGAAGCCTTAAATGGAATCCTTTCTGGGGATTCCGCCATTTGGAGACGATTATGAGTGCAACCACGTTTAACATGGGCCTGGGGGAGGGGGAGCTAAACCCGCGGAGGTTCAGATGAAGTAACGTTTTGGGAACCCTCACCTAAGGACAAGGTCATAGTTGGCGGCCGGGAATCCAGGGATGGGATGTGGAGCCCCCAAAATGGGCTTTCGTTAGTTACCCTGCCGCCCTGTGGTTTCCCTTTCAAACGGGAACCCTCAAAGGACGATTCTTTTAATGGTGGAAAACAACAAGGCCTTTTAAGTGATGCTCCTGTTAGGGGGATATGTATAGCGACATTTCGCAGACCCTGTCTCACGTTTGCACAGCAACTCGGCGATCTAAGGGCCAATGTAGTCACCAGAAATCACGCCGGGGAACCCTGAGCAATCTGACCTATTCCGCGCGACTGCGGTCTCGGGCGCATTTGGGAGCAATCTCTCCATGATTTCTTTTCGCAGTCACTCTTGCGGCATCTCTCCAAGCAATCTTGGCGCCATCTCTTTGCAACGCATATTCATGACCTGTATTTGTACTCAAAGATCATTATTTTCTGGCGCTTTCCACAGCAAACCGCGACTGAACATGTCTGGGCCCCGCGCCAATGCAGGATTCCTCTCGGAGGCCAGACCGGCCTGCTTGGTGAGGCCATTACGGCCCAAGTTGTGGGTCCTTTGAATTCTGGGTGGCTTTCTTATTCATATCTGAAATAAAGTGCGTCACACGTGTTATCCTCTTGAACTGGCTCAGAACTACGTGTACGCCATGTTATTAAACCTTCTATGCTAAGAATGTCCAATGAACAACCACACTCTACATGAGGAGTGTCTCTAGACAAGGACAACCAACACACATGTGTCATTCTCTGTTGGTTTGTCCAGCGCCAAGCACTGGGCGCCAAGCACTGGGGGTCACCAATTTCGAGCAATACGAATCACCTCTGGTCGTTTCGACTTGGCCTCAGCTCAGGACATGACCATCAGTGTGTTTCAGTACATTGCGGCTGGAGCCCTAGAGCCAAACATGGCCTGACTCAGTTTAAGGCTAAGGCTTTCGTGCGCGGGCGGGGGTGGGGTGGGGGTTGTAGAGGGAACCCTATTTGAATATATGCTCCTTGGGGTAAACCGACTTTGTTTGGGATTCCTTGCCGGTTTTGGAGTTTTATTGCAACTATTTCAGCCTGTGCTGGCTCATTCTGCAATATGCCCAAGTGGAGTCCCCAGCGAACCTCAGGACCCTTCGGAACCCTCCCTGAAAGCTGCTGCGAACCCAGAGCTTTTTTGGGCAGAGACGCGCATAGCTTACAGCTTCTCCGGGGAGCAGGCTTCACGGCTTCATACTCAGGTCTATTCCAAGTCCAGCCTCTATGAGCAGACCACGCCGGAGGTGGTGGAGATCAACGACACCGTGGCAAAGGCCGTCGGGAACGTTCGGGGGATGGGATTGAGGCCAAGGTTTCTTCACGGAAGTTGCAGCCTGTGTTTCTGTTCCATGTATATTTTTTGGTGATCTCTTCTACAGTGCAGCAGAGCATAAAAGCAGCTCGTCCTTTAAAACTCCCGGTCAACCCCCCCTTGTTTTGGTTGGCCTTACCTTAAAAGGCAGCGAGCCGTGCCTTGTCGAACGGAAAGCCTGCTGAAACAGGACACGTGTGCGGGTTTCGGGTAAAGCACATCTGAGTGGCGTTATTTTGGTCCGCTCAAGCAAACATGTAAAGATGTTGACATAATATCAGCAAACAAGGTAGCACCGAACCGCAGCCGCGGAAGGTTTGCGGAAGGTTTCTTTCCCTGCGGAAGCTCGTTGAACGGACGTTGTTGATTTGTGAATCGTAGTTTGTTTTTGTTTCGGTGGTTGTTGCCAAGCACATTTACTAGCATCGCTTGTGCTTGTGTAGCGCCAATCTTTGATGTCACTGCCAGTCGGTCCTTTTCTCACTTACAGAGCCAATTGCAGCGGCTGCACCGAGGCCAGCAGTAGACGCCAGGTTGGGAGACAGACAGCGGTCTAGCCTAGATCTGAGATCAAGACTAGTGAAAGTTGCAAGCTCTGAGGCTGCACAATCGTCCCAAAATTTCCGCGCCGCGAAGTTGTCCGCTGGCCAATGATATTAATATCTTCCCAACCCGGACCTTCCCCCCCATTAATAAATCAGCCTCGGGGACGAAACATACTTTTTAATAGGGCCCTTTTGGGTCTGATGGGCCCCCTGGCGACAAAGATGCTCATCCCTTGAAGCGGGCCCAAAATCGATCTGTTTAAATGGCTTGTAGTACAAGCTTTGAAAGGGACAGACGTTTGGCTTTTGGTTGGCTTGGCTCAGCACAGATTCATGCAGGGTAAGAGAGAGAGACTGTTTTGGGCTGCTGCAAGGAGCTTGGGTCCTGGACTAATTACCCACCCCCTAATATGGCTGGAGCTGGTCTGGGTGAGAAATCCGAGAGTTTTGTTTTTTTTTGATTTGTCCTATTCTAAAAGTAGTATTGGGGACCCGGCGGTCTGGGAAAATAGTATTTATTGGTAGGGTCCATTTATTAAAAGGGGGAAGAGATTAGATGTCTAGCTACCTATCCGGGAACCACCCCAAGAATGAGTCCTTGGAAAGGCCTGGCGATAGCATCTAGTTCAATCCTTCGAATCTAACCCTTTGAGCTTTGGTTTTTCCAGTTGCTTATCCTCCGCACTAAGATTGAAGCTGGTTAGTGGATGGGAGGGTATCGTTTCAAATCCAGGCGATGTGGGGGCAACACCCGACCCTTTAATCTTCTCTTGTGGGGGGTAACAGTGAAATTTGAATGAATGTGAATGTGTATTCCCACACAAGGAAAGAACACAAAGGGGTTCAATGGCTTTGGCTCTCTTTGGGGGTCTCCCGCTGTTGATGTTCTTTCTTTACTTTTTCGGAACAGGTGCAGATTCTGAGCTTCACTGATCGGGATTTGGACGAGGGCGACGTGGGGGGCATCTTTACCTGGCTTCCACCCCTGGACATCGCGCAGGCAAATCCGAATCCGCCGTTCCGTTTGGTTGCTTGCTGCCTTTTTTGGGGCAGGGAATGAGGGGAAATGAGTGTTTTTTTCAATAAACTGCGGGTATACAAGCTTTGGGCTTTTATGGATTTGGGCTGGCAACACGTATTGGACAGTACTTATCTTAGAAGGCACTCTAAAGATGCATTCGCAAGGGTTGCCTGGCCTGCCCGTTAGGGCGGATTTGTCTTCACACAAATTTGCAAAGGTTGGCTGGGTTCGCGAAGGTTTGCATTGGGTTTTGGGCGTCGCACCTGTGGTGTACCCACTCTCGGATGCAAGCCTCCCGCCACAACCAATGTGGGTTTAGATGATACGTGATGATACCCTCCCTTTCCCAGTAAATCCAGTTACTGCCACGGACCAAGAGACCCAGAGGCAAAGTCTAAACGAGTCACCCTAGTGGAAACCATTTCGGTGTTAGGTGTTAGGGAATGCTAGTGTGATGGGAGTCTTCAGCCTTGGGAATAAATTTGAAACCAGACAATCTCCATTTCAGTCATGGCCAGATAGTAGAGTTTCCCCCCGCCCCCTCCCATTTTGTCTGGCGGGTTGGCGCTAGTGAAGGAACCAAGGGGTTGGAAAGCCTAGGCTTCCAAAAGAAACACGGGTGGATCTCTTGGATTGAGGCAAACCCCGATCATTTCGAGGGACCAGTTTTGATTTCCAGCGGCCGAAATCAATCATTCGGTCGCTGTGGAGCTTCGCCTGGTTGGGCTCTTGATGTCGGCTTCGTGGGGCTTCCTTGCGCAAGCCATGTTGTGGAGGGAGTTGCGCAAGTGGTAATCCTTTTGGGCTTCGTCTACCGCAGGTTTCTTTCAACGCAATGCAGTTTAGTATAACGCAATCTGAAGCAGCCCTCTTGAATGATTTGAGCCGTGGGACCTGTTGGGCTGTGGACACATTCATGCGGTTTGTGCCTTTTTCTCTCCAAACGTGAAGAGTTGATCCGCTCTTAGGCAGGGGACATCCTGTCTAATCAAGCACTTGATGTTGCCGGAACGGAAGGAGCACCCAACACATTACCAAGGGCTGTTGTTTTACATATTGGCGTGAGTGAACCTGGAACTGAACTGGACCCTGTTCAGGCCGCAGTGCATGCAAGTCATGACAGAGGGCTTCGAATCACTTTCAGGATTTCTCTGAGTCCTTTGAAGGGTGCCCAAAGGGGTTGCCACCTTTTGCCAGGACACTTCCACATTGTTGCAGCTGCCTTTGTTTCCCCAAACCCGTGCGGAGTGCTGCAGAAAATCAGCTGGTGTCTCAACAGTTTATATTCTTTTCGGGGAGTCAGGTGACCCACTACCGCGCCTACCTTTCCGCACCTCCCACCCGCTCGAGCCTCTTGCTGGAGACCCCCGTAGGCGCCAGCCAGGACCGGAAATGGAAGGCCCTCCTGGGAGCGGGGATGCGTTTCTTTGTTGCGTTTGTTGGACGGGGCGTTGCTGGTTGTTGTTTTGTCGGGGGTTCTTGAAGAACAGCTGAGGCAGCACAGCCAGCAATTGTTTCAACTGCTGGAAGGTGGGACACGCCATATGGGTGTGGGTCAATATTCTGGTGTGGAACGTTCCGCGGTGACGCGGACGTCTGGAACGAGTCAGTTACGTAAGGTCGGTTGTTCCGGACCTCTGGGAAGACAATGTGTAGAGGCCTCAAGCACACGTTCATTTGGTGTAAGATGGATAGATTTGTGGATGAATGTATGGATGGGTATAGTGGATGAAGCGACCAGGGGCGCGCGGCCTTCCGATACGGCACCTCCCCCGTCATAGTCAGGCCCGCCACCCGCAATGTGACATCCGCATCCGCGAAACACAATGGCGCTACGACCACTCACGACTACGCCCGTTGAACCGGAAAGGGTTGCCCATGGTCAGGCGGTCGCTCAGTGCGGTCCAAATCCTGTCGCTTAGTGCGGCGCAAATCCTGTCGCTTAGTGCGGCAGTCACTTTCACCTTCACGGGCATCTCGGAAGGAAGGTTCGCGGAAGGGCGAGGCGGAATACTTTTTTTGGAGCAATGAATATGGGGTAAACTTCATATGTTATGTTATGTTATGGTTTTTTACGCTGCGCTATGTTATGTTACGTTTTGTTATGTTATGATATTAGGTGTGTAGTGTTATGTATGTTTTGTAATGTAATGTGATGTATGCGTGTATGTATGTTGTGTATGTTGTGTATGTTATGTATGCTATGCACGTATGTATGTATGTTGTATGTATGTATGTATGTATGTATGTATGTATGTATGTATGTATGTATGTATGTATGTATGTATGTATGTAAGTAATGTAATGTAATGTATGTAATGTATGTATTTATGTATGTACGTACGTACGTACGTATGAATGTATGTTGTGTTGCGTTGTGTTGTGTTGTGTTGCGTTGCGTTGCGTTGTGTTGTGTTGTGTATGTATGTATGTATGTATGTATGTATGTATTTATGTACGTATATGTGTATGTATGTATGTATGTATGTATGTTTGTATGCATGCATGCGTTCATGTATGTGTGTATGTATGTATGTATGTATGTATGTATGTATGTATGTATGTATGTATGTATGTATGTATGTATGTATGTATGTATGTATGTATGTATATGTAGGTACGTAACATAATGTAATGTGATGCAACGTCGTGTATGTGTGTATGTATGTTATGTATGTATGTATGTATGTTATGTGAGTATGTATGTGATGTATGTATGTATGTATGTATGTATGTATGTATGTGTGTACGTGTATGTATGTATGTTATGTTATGTTATGTCCCCTGCTCTGGCTCTTCGTCTTGGCTTGCTTTACTTTTTCTTTACAAGAACTTACATGTGTTTAGACACGTGCCAAAAAGTGTGGTTTTACCTGCATCGCGGAAGTTCGCGGAAGGTTCGCGGAAGGGCGAGGCGGAAGACTTTTTTTGGAACAATGAATATGGGGTAAACTTCATGTATATATGTATGTTATGTTATGTTATGGTTTTTTACGCTGCGCTATGCTATGTTATGTCTTGTTATGTTATGTTATTATGTGTGCAGTGACATGTGTTTTTAGTACTGTAATGTAATGTGACGTAATGTAGTGTAATGTGATGTATGCCTGTATGTATGTTATGTATGCTATGTACGTAAGTATGTATGTTATGTATGTATATAATATGTATAAATGTATGTATGTATGTATGTTGTGTTGTGTTGTGTTGTGTTGTGTTGTGCTGTGTTGTGGTGTGTTGTGTTGTGTTGTGTTGTGCTGTGTTGTGGTGTGTTGTGTTGTGTTGTGTTGTGTATGTATGGTATGTAATGTATGTTATGGTATGTATGTTGTATGTATGTTGTATTTATGTATGTTATGTTGTGTTGTGCTGTGTATGTATGTATGTATGTATGTATGTATGTATGTATGTATGTATGTATGAATGTATGGCATGTATTTATGTACGTATATGTGTATGTATGTATGTATGTATGTATGTATGTATGTATGTATGTATGTATGTATGTATGTATGCATGTAATCATGCATGCATGTCTGTGTGCGTGTGTTAATGTAATGTAATGTGTGTAATTTATGTAATGCGTTGCAGTTCATGCGTGTAATGTAATTTTGTATGTATGTCTGTATGTATGTATGTATGTGTATGTATGTATGTATGTATGTATGTCTGTATGTATGTATGTATGCATGCATGTATGTATGTATGTATATATGTATATATGTATGCATGTATGTATGTGGTTAATATATGTAATATGTGTAATTTGTGTATGCATGTATGTATGTTTGTAATGTGTGTATGTTATGTTATGTTTTGTTATATGTTTTGTTATGTTATGTTATGTGGGTAATGCTATGTATGTAGTGTATGTATGTAATGTAATGTAGCGCAACGTAGGCCCGCTGAGCCCGTTGGGCTCGTCGGGCCCGTCGGGCCCATTGGGCCTGTTGGGCTTGTTGGGCCCGTCGGGGTCGTTGGGACCGCTGGGCCCGTTGGGCCCGTTGAGCCCGTTGAGCCCGTTGGGCCCGTTGAGCCCGTGTGGCCTGTTGGGCGCGTTGGGCCCGTTGAGGTCGTTGGGCCCATTGAGCGCGTTGGGCGTGTTGAGCCCGTTGGGAGCTTGGGCCTGTTGAGTTCGTTGGGCCCATTGAGCGCGTTGGGCGTGTTGAGCCCATGGAGCGCGTTGGGCCCGTTGATTTTATTGAACTGACCGGTTTAACACCTGGGTTCTGACTGCACTAAGTGACGGGTTTTTTGCTGCACTAAGTGACCTGTTTAGCACTTGGGTTCTGACTGCACTAAGTGACGGAATTTTTGCTGCACTAAGTGACCTGCTGACCGTTGCCCATCCACTACCTTCCATTAACCCTTGTAACGTCAGGAGGTTTGTAGCAACTAGAACCAACCGCCTCAAATGAGACACAGCCTCGGCTGGCAGGCAAGACAAGAACAGCAAATCTCCGCCACCTTGTCTGGAAAAAAAGCGGCGATCCCTCCGCTTCCGCGGCGCAAAGCGTACCTTCTGCAGCATCCATAGCTGCGAATGCTCTTCATCTGCTCTGGTCAGCTGTTGAAATTGCGATTGGTTATTCAGCAGATCCAGACCAAGGCATCTCCGTAGAAGATCTCGAGAACATTCCGGGAAAGGCTCTTGGTTCCAGTTTGCGGGCTACGCCAGCGATATGGGCATCGTTTGGGCATCGTTCGGGGCATCGTTCAAACCAAACCGTTTTCTTGTCCAGGCATGGTCAGTTTGATTGTACGGCAGGCCATCAAACAAGAAGAAATACGGCCGCGCCGTGTTTGGTTGACTTCCCTTTGCTGAAATCCTTCAAAAACACAGTGGTTTTCGACTTCCTTGTCCACCCCTTCTTTGAGTTCATTGTAAAGGCATGAGGAATGAGAAATGCAGGGGAAATGAAGGGGAAACGAAGGGAAATCACCCTTGCACATATGCACATACGCACACACGACGCTGGCACACACGCGCACATTGCCAGGGTATCGTTTGAGGGGCGTCCGGGGTGTCGCTCTGACCAGCGAGGTGGACAGGCTCAGCTAATACAAGAAAGGCCTGGAATGCAGGCTGTTGGCGTGTTGGATCACCTTTATGCAGGATGTCTGCGCAACGCTTCTCTCTCCACCGCAGAATCTTCCAGACAACTGTTCATGTCGAACCGTCCGCCTGCGCATCACGTGATTTTTTCTCTCGCCAAGCGCAAGCCTCCCCAGTTTTAGGCTATGAATTGCACAGCGCACTGTGCTCCTAGCACCCGCCACTGCCCGAGACGCACTGATGGCTCAGAGCAGCAGGCTACAAGGAAACGGTGGCCTTCTTCCGCTCCGAAGCCCTGCGCGCCGCCGCAGTCATCAGATCCACCAACATTGCCTGCAACAACCGCGCGCCCCGTCAAACAAACATCTGAATGGGCCCAGGCACACAGTCATGTGAGCTGGAATGCTTTGTTACCCACCCCTGCCAGCACTGACCTCCTGGCCTCTGTGGCTGTCTGCAAGATGTCCAGGGCATCTGCAGTAATCCTCAAGCTGCTGGCCTCCTCGTTCGGCTTGGAGCCAGCGCACAGCAGGAAGAGAGAGCGCTTGTGCAAAATCTTGGCCAAAACCTCCTTCGCCAACTTGCCAAAGGGGCCCTTCGGGATGGCAGAGTCTCCTGAGGCTTGCTCAGCCTTAATCTCCTGAGCAGCCTTGTAATGCTTGAAGGGCGCCCGCTTGATGGTGCCCTTCACTGTGCTCTTCTGGCCCTTGTTGGAACGCTCCTGGCGCTGCCAAGGACTCCGAATTACTTGAAAACCATTGTGTTCCCTGGTTGGATGTCTTTTGCTGCGCGCAAGATTTGTATTGCAGCCTTGACAAAGCTAGATAAACAGTGTCCATGTCCTGCCTTTGGCCTTCTCGGCCAGCCACACAGGAAACAAAGAAAACTTGGACCCGTTGGAAGCTAAAGAAGACTCAACGAAGCCATGCCCCGGCCCTGACGCGGACGAGGCATTCCCGGGGAAGAGAGCGCAACTTATGTACACGCAGCCAAACGATACCCCCAGTATTATTTTTAAGCCCCGAAAGTGACATTCAGGGCTCTTTCCCTGCTTCTGGTTTTCTCTGGACCGCCCGCATAAGAAGCACAGAATACTGGGACATGCTGGGACCGATTGGAAATTGTTCCCCTGCCCGAACGCAGCGGGGGAAGGGGGGGGAGAGCACAATCCAGCCAAACGATACCCCGAAAGAACATTTAGGCCCATTTCGCTGCTTTTTGTTTTCTGGGACGGCCTTTCTGGGCCGGCCACGCAGGAACCACGAAATGCTTGACCCGTTGGCACCCCCGACGCGGACGCCCAGGCATTCTGAGGAAAAAGAGCACAT